GTTTGGCAGATTCCTAGTGGTTATATGCATATGCAATATGCAATATGCATCTAATCTACAATTCTATAGTATCAACCGTCTCAGAAGAGACCGAGAGCTGAGGCCACGCATGGATGCGAAGCACACGGCCAGCACTGGCCACTTATCTGAGACGTGCGTCTGACCGAGGACAGGGCCAGGCTTAGGGCGGGGCAGCCCCTGCACGCACGATGGGGTGAGCGTTCGGTTGATAGCCCACGCGCTCTATGTATAGCTCGTCGTCACTGCAGCAGGGGTGGCCGTCCGGAGCCGGGTCGCCGGCGGCAGGTGCCGGGCACTGGCACTTCTTGCCCTCTGAACTGCAGGCAGGAGGCGACGTGCCGCCGGCGGCAGCGCTGCTCCCAGGGTGGTACCGCCGCTGGATGGATGGTGGGTGGACGTTGACCTGCGGCTCAGCCTTGACCCAGGGCGGTGCGCGGCGGCGGCCGGCCGGGCGCCGGTAATGACCCGCCGCACTGCACGGCGATCACTGCCGCCGGCGCGGCGGCCCGACCAGCAGACAGGGAGAGGGGCAGAGATAAGAGGAGGGATGGTGGGTATAGGCAGAGGTAAATGGAGCTGACTGAGACGAACAGGGCTGTCAACGGTCTCAGATAGAGAGGGATCGGGAGGCACTGCCCATCGTCCATCTAATTATCTTATCTAAAATATGCCATCAATTACAATCAACTCATTTTTTCTTGATTGGTGACAACGCAGATGGGCGGGGCGGACCCGGAGCGGAGCTGTTCCATTTTCGCATATCTGCATTGTTTGCATTCACTGTAGGCAACTCGATTGTGGCATGAAAGTTTTCTTAGTATCAGACTGGGCTTTCCATTTTTCTTCATACTTACCTCCCTATATGACAACGAAACACATCCCAATTTCGCTATAGTACGATCCTGCCCCCAAACTAGCCAGAGCAGCCGAGTCGGAAAAAAATACACAGATTTACACGCGCGTACAAAAATAAGCTCGAAAGACACAGCACCTCTTCCAGAGAAAAATAAGCTGTCGGAGGTAAGGGATTATTTACAAAGTGAACAAAATGTATGCATTTTAATTTACACTAGGTTCCGAGGTGACGTGAGCTTCAGTATTTCCTACAAGCGCAAAAAAAAACATACCTAAACATATTCCACCAGGGCAAAAGCAATAATTCAGTTTTATTTTTCGGGCAAGGTATATCACTAACCCAACAAACCTGCCATTGTCGTCAATCTGCAAATCTTCGAATCTAAACAAAAGGACGTGAATCTCTCACCCTTGAAGTATCATGTGCAGTGTGCACTTTTTACTTTGAACAACACTTTCGGCTTTGAGAGAATGTCGCCTTTATCATCTTATCCAAAGATTCTGAATCGATCTTATTGAATCGCAAAAGCCGAGCCCAGGAAAGCAAATAAATACGACTTCCTTACGTCATTAAATGAAGGATCATGATGTTTTCACCACTTGTTCTTATAGTTCACATATAAAAGGTAGTTTACTGGTACCATTAGACGTACAAGGAAATGGCAAAACTGAAAATACCAAACACCACATCACTCGCTGCCACACGAAGCATAGCAGCTCATTAGAGGAGATTCTCAAGATGAGCTCCACCGCGCTGCCTAATCATTGGTAGCCTGACTTGCTGCAGGTTTCGTCGGCGCCGGGCTCCGTCCAGAGATTTTGTCAAAATGTAAGCCTCTACGCAAAACGACTTCTCTTCATTTGTGCACATCGTAGAATAAATGTTTGACGTAGAATAAATGTTAGAATAAAGGTTCAAGCGTGCCAAGATGTGCTCTATCATTTCATGAAATATTAAAATATTGGCACGTGCGGGACAAAAATGAGATAAAAATATTTGATGATCCCATTTAATGACACCCGGTACAACAGGTTGTTACTAATCAAGGAACGCTGTTGCTCAAAAGGGGCCACCGTCTTTTCTACGTTTATTGGCACCGAAGCGCGGTGGAAATTAAATTACTACAAAACCAGTAAGGGCCTTTTGGGCGAAGAACGAGCGAGCAAGATAGTGCGCCCTGCACGTGCGGAAAGGCGAGAGGGTACTTCCAACGGGACTTGTGCAAAGCACCCTTCTAACCGGTCGCTAGCGGTGTGCCAAATTTGAACGCAATCGGCCCAGCCGTTCCTGAGATCTTGAAAGCGGCATTCTGCACGTGCGCACGTGCAAACGGGGTCCACACTGACATTTGCACTGCACCCTAGTAACCGGTCCCCAGCCGTGTACCAAATTTGGGCACAATCGGCCCAGCCGTTCTCGAGATCTGGAAACGCCCCCTGCACGTGCGCACGTGCAGTAGCACCCTAACCGCAACACATGGGAATGCATTGCCTGGTGGGTGCCTACCTGTATGCCAAGTTTCAGCGAAATCGCCCAGGTAATTACCGAGTTATTAAAATGGGAAAAATTTGACACCTCTTATTGTTGTATTTTGCACGTGCACTGGGGGTGACCCACATGCATCGAGAGCATCCTATTTTTGGAAGAAGGGATGCACCTACCCTACAAAAATTACCGCAAGACAATCGCCCTAGCGGCTGCTGAGATATGAGCCTCTCAAAATCACTACTTTTGCAAAACAGCTTGAACACCCTTGACTTTTCACGTGGCACGTGCCACGACGGTCACTGAGATGTATCAAAAGTACCGTAAAGTGGGGCTATTTGAAACGGATTTTACAGTTTTTGGCCTCTCTCTTTAAAACGGTTCATATTTCTTATAGCATGTAAATTGCAACAATGTAGTTCTCTGTGAACTCTTTCATATAGGTGCATTTTGGTTCAGCTGGTGATAATGACTAAGGCTATTTGTTTAATTAAAGCCTGTCTCAAATAGCCCCATAGGGTGGGGCTATTTGAGACAGTTTTAGTTGCAAAGAAATTGAAGAAAATCGGTCACGCTAGAGATAATTTTTTAAACGCCATACAATTGGAAATCAAATTTTGATCATTTTGGCAAAAAATTGTTTTTGCGAAGACTGTTACATGTCCTTTATAATCAATCTTTTCCTTTTTCGTAGAGCACTTCATTTCGATAGGGTATAAAATTGCATCACTTTATGCTAAGGTTATCATAATATGATGTGACCCTAAACTTTCAAAATGACAGGATCATCATCAAGGACTATTTTAAAGTCAACGACAGTAAAATTTTGAAAGTAAGTTTTTGTATATAGCCCTGGTGACGTGAAAACAGTTATACCGAAAGCCGGTGGGGCTATTTGAGACAGGCTTGCTAGCTTATGAAGCACACCGTAATGAATGAAACAAGGCAAGGTTTCCCGGGTTTCCCAAAACATTTAAGTGAATGGTCTGCATGAATGCTTGTTCCATTGTACATCTCCATGCGAAGAAACAACAAAAAAATGTTAAACGGTTTTGATTTTATGCCGATTTTCCTCGATCGCTGCGTGCTGTATCAATTGGCCGGTTACCCTACCACATCAAGTACTTGGATAGGCTCATCTAACAGTACGTTCATGTGGTAGCCTTCAATGGTGTTTTTTGGTCAACCTAGGTAAACATATGTTGATTGTCGACTGAGTCAGTGACTGATGAAACACATTTTAAGCACATATTCATCAGAATAACTAGTTTGGTCACCAGCTAAAGGGTCATTATGTCATAATACGAACATGTAAATATTGCTTGCTGCTAAAAGTACCTACTATGAACCCACTGCACGTTTATGACCATGACCGATTCACCGGCGCTGCTAATGTCGAACGTTCGATGTACTCAGGTAGATGGCGGTAAGTCTTCTCGGGTGCATCGCATCACCATTATCATCAGCTATTTGGCATATCCGTTGAGGTTTGACCAGGTGGGCATCATCGGGATTCTGAGACAATGGGTTACATAATCGGCAGTACCGCTAACAATATATAATATTTTCATGAAAAAATGTGGTTAGCCTATAAGTAAAACGGTAGTAACGATAGATCCAGTGGCAAAGCTATCAAAATTTCAACTCTGTTAAGCTGCAGGTAGGGGTCCTTTTCGAGCAACTTAAATTGAGCGTTTTTCTGTATTTCGTATTTTATGCCAAATTTCTTTCAGAACTTTTCGAAATTTTCAAAAAAAGTTATTCAAAGCATTCACTGTTCAATTCCACGTCAGCCTAAGCAAAAATGACGAAAAAACATCAAACGGTTTTCATTTTACAGCGATTTTACTAAACCACTACCTTACTGTCTCAAATAGCCCCACTTTACGGTAGTCAATTACGGGGTAGAAGGGATGGGGCTACCCAACAAAAAAGACCGCAGGCCAATCGGTCCAGCGGTTGCTGAGATATAAGCCTCTCAAAAGCGTTACAGGCCGGGCCGGGCCGGGCCGGGCCGCTCATACTGAGATTTTCCCGTTATATTGAAAAGCCTTTGCTTCGCTCGCTGCGCTCGCTCGCTCGTAACAAACCAAAAGAAACCAAAACAGAGCTTAAACAAATATTTTGTTACGGATAATTCAAAGGCAAAGAAGTGGCATTTTATGAGAAATTCGCTCATGAAATTTCAAAAGGTTTCATTTGATGAAAAAAAATCAGGAGGCTTCACATCACAGATAAGTCTTTCGTGACCCAATATTAAGCAAGTCGTGGACCCCTCCACCATCGATCGACCGCCTCCGTCCCTAAAAATCTCGGCAGGCGGCTTTTATCTTTGCCCATAAGTCTCCCTCGAGCCAGCTGTATTACCGTCTCAGCGCTGAGCGTCTCTATTGGTCTTCGCTTGGCCGCTCTGCCGGCCACTACCGTCTCCTCCTCCGAGAAGGCCGCTACCGCCTCTCAGCTAGCTCATCTCCCGCGACTCGTCTCCCCGATCCGGCCGCTACCTTCTCCCCGATCCGGCCGCTACCGTCTCCCCCGTCGGGCAGCTCCCGTCGCACCATCTGCGGCCCGGGGCGCCGTGTCGTGACGTCACGTCACGGTCAGGCCTTAAAGTGAGCGCGTGCGATGACCCGTGTCAGTCCGGCAGTGGCGTGGTGCGTTTGGGCGAGCGGCTGCGTCGGCTCCGTCACTGGTCCACGAGCAGAGAGGTAGGTGAGCTGAACCCTGAACGGTCCATCTTGATAACTTCTCAGCCCTTCTCTCCTCCCTACCAAAATTCTAATTATGACCACAAAAACCAATCTGCGACAAATTGAGAGTAAAAGTGAATCCTCGCGCAACCGTGTAGCTCGATGAGAGTGAGAGTGTTTGCCAAATTCAGCTTCAGAATGACGTTGAAAGTGAGAGCGACTCCCAACTTCAGTTCTGGGTCTCACCGAAAGTGACAGTGAAGCGGCACAGAGTTATCTTCGCCCGAGCCTGGTTGCGAACCGTGCTTTGGTATACTTTAGTTGCTGTGGCTCTTGCCTTGGTATCGAAACACAAGGGCTGGTTGTTTCCTGCTTTGTACAGGTGAACTTTTTAAAGCCGTAAATGTGTCATTGATTTGTACGTCGCAGCTAGAAAAAAATACGCTTCCAAATCCAATGGTGGGCGTGAGTATCGTAAAATCTAATGCCTTGGAAGAGTGACTGAGCAATGTGTAAGCATAAATAGGAAAAATAAGCACCCTAATTTGCCTACAGTGGTGTCAAAGTGGATATATCTTCCAGACATGTGCATGAATCCGAGAAAATTGATCTAGAGTTTGATCCCACGGATCCTGATCTCCGTCCCGTCGGGATCATGGATCCACCTCTTTAAATTATCGAGAGATCCGTTAGAATCGTAGATCCAAGTCTAATTCTTTGCTTAAGATCCAATGAGATCATAGATCCTCATTTATTTTCAGTCAACACAGAAATCCCAAAAAATCCCTCGTTGCAACTCACAAACGTTCTGTTTTAGTGATTTCATGTGATTGCATGCTATAATCCATTATTTTGTGGCACTTATTGCCATAAAAACACTTGCAAACCTAGTTTCGAATGTTGTGCATGATGGGATCCACTCAGAGCATAGATCCATATTCCGGGTTTTATCTTCAGATCCTGTGAGATCATAGATCCAGAATATTTTTTTCCCGTCAGATCCGGTGGCATCATAGTTCAACCTGCAGTTTGCTTCGAGATCCACTGAGATCATAGATCCATCACTCGGATCTATGCACATGTTTGGTATTTTCAGCGATTGATGAGACAGCATCAGCAATATGTATGCACCACAAGTTGAATCAGCTAATGCAGGGCTCTCAGTCCCCTGTCTGAATATTACTTAGTTGTGAGGAATTAACAAAACAAAACAGTATCTTTGTCATTTTTTTTTTAAATAATATGTCGGGCACACGACGGTAATTTAAAGGTTTCATCATGTCAAACAAAAAATGTTGTTAACTTGCATATAGAGGTCATGTCAGGTTAAAATGATGGCATATCGCAAGTACCCTATGGTCATTATTGACTACTTGCCAGTCGGCAATGGCCGAATGAGATTTGTGCCTGACGATTACGAGCCCTAATTAAGGACATAAGCACGTTGTAACATGACTTCAACCGGCATGAATTCCATCGAGTTTTTTTTTACAAAAGGTTTAATGTTCTGAAAAGTATTCGTTACATGCACGGCTGAGCCCTTTTCCTGTCGCGCTCGTGAGTTCCGTCCTGCTGCGGTGACGGTGATGAGGGTTTCTCCCGAAGTGCCCGGCTGTCGATCTGTGTCGCCGACACGTGTAGCCGCTGCACTCGACACGGTGGAACGGCCCACCAGCAGCACTCGGCGCTGCCGCCGGAATCGAAATTCCAGCTCCGCCGCACACACGAGCGGCAGCAATCGCACAGCGCCAGAGCGGCAGGCCGTGCAGGTACAGTCCCTTTCCACCACTGATATGGAAGCAGCACATATGGAGCTGGCACAGCCGGCCCAGCTCCCCTTCCATGAAGTCATTGCAACTGAAATGTAAGATAATTCTTTTTCTTTTACAGCCATGATGGACAAAACTCAACTGGCCATTTATATTGTCACTTTAGAAAGTGACCGAAAGTGTATGGCTTAGCCACATGATCACTTTGATCAATTGTCAACAATCATTTGCAAATACCTATTTGGCGACCGCATTGTCAAAAAAGGCTTGATGTGCAAAAAGCAATAATTAAAATGGTGTTTTATCTTATATCATAAATCGTCTTATCTATGACAATAAAGGTAAACCATTCCACACTGTCACATTTTGTTAGAAGAACGTAGCAGGTACTGGGGTTATTTGGGAGTTCTTTCTGCTACGTTCAGGCTCTGCTTGCTGAGTTGATGGTACTCGGCACTCCTACAAACCTAAATAAATGCGGATCATGCTTCAACGCAACCTCCCGCTTTCACAGCTAGTTAACAATCTCACGAAAATGGGATGGACAGTAATTTGCAAGAATGATGCCAGTAGTACTTCAGGGCAAGTTGTTGCATGATGCAACCGGCAACAACAACACTGGTCCGTTGCGCGATTGAGTGTCTGTTGGTGATTGGTCAGCTTGGCACCATCCTCATTTGATGGCCTCTTGCGAACCAATTCTTGCTTACATCACTCTGACCTTACTCTTTGTGAAATATTGGAAAGCAATGCATTCCGATTTACTGCAGAGCATGTTACAAAACCTGCAACATCGTGATCAATTTGCAAAATTGCACACCTCTGGAGTCATCGACGAATCTTCGTTCGAATATCTAGGGCGACTACTACCTACGGGTCACGCAGACTGACCCTGACCCTATCAAGACGTTTTGTAATCGCCTCGAACATTCTTTGTGAAATGTTAAATGCGAAACATTTAAAACATTCAACAAATACGGCATTATAAGGTCCGATGAAGAAAACGTCGAACAGCTACTTGCTCGGGCTCCGACATCGCATTTGTCATTTTACGAATGTAGGCATTACATTGACCGTTGATGAAAAGAATCGTTCTTCAAAGAAACTATAAATGAAATTAAACATTTTTAATAAATATATTTCAGCCAAGAGCAGAGTAAGTACATACTTCATCCCATCGGCACACGTTAGGTATATGGATATCGACATTGCGGTCCGAGTCGTCTGGCCCACCGAGTCTAAGAACCCTCCATCCTTTGAGCCGCAAGACCGGCAAGTCTGTCACACCCCGCTGTTCGGACTGAGCGCAGCGTGGGACGTGGGCAGTAAACGCTGACAGACAATCTCTGCAAACCCAACCGATCGAAAAGGAGCCACACCACTCAGCCCAGCTTTCACAATTATGTAGACATTGCTAAACCAAACCGCATGTCATCTTTATTGAAACATCGGGAATCTGTCCGGAGTCGTGCCGGGATGCTGTCACGACGGCCCGCGGCCAGTCTGTCCAGGAGGGCGCGCCAGACGCGCGCAGGTGGGGCCGGCCCCATGACTGGCCTCAGGGCGCGACCAGGTGCAGTCACCAGGTGCCCCGATACTCCAGCCAAGGCGTCAATCGGTGAGCGGCACCGGTGGCCTTCTGTGCCGGCTCGGCCACCTCAGCACTCTATCGAGGACACAAATCGCGCTCCCTGCTCAATAAACTGGTGCCCGGTCAGGCTCTGGCGCGCCGGTTGCGCCATCGTCACCAGTCGGCGTTACCCCACTGGGTGCCGCGCGCGCACAATCCACTCCACATCAGCGGACAAATAGAAAGTCCACGACGTCGCTGGCGTTACCGGGCGAGCCACACCACTCTGGCGTCGTCCCCATCTCGCACTCCAGACAGCAGGCGCGTCCCGGAGACAGCCCTCACGCGGCCAGCCGCGGCCCCCTTCCCTCTCAAGGGCTCCGCGACCGGGCGACCGCTGAAATTTGACCTGCGCGACCGGCGCGAGCGCGCTGGCCTAATAGCCCTGGCGGGCGGGCCGGTCCGTGCACCCGATATAGTCCACAGTCTCCGAGATAAAGGTATGCAGATGAATGGTTAGCACGTATGCACGGTGCACGTGCAAAGTTTCCACTCATTGAGACGTGGAAGCCTTTTAACCCGGCAGTTGCTGGGGTATTTCGCCACCCACCGTTTGCTGGGGGGGGGGGGGGCGTTAAACGCCCCCAGCCGATAACTCAAGAACCAATAGGCGCAGCGAAACGCACGAGGCGGCAAACGAAAGAGCGCGACGAGACGCTTCAGATGAGTACTTTAAAGTTGAATTTTGAGGTCACAGGTCGGGTCAAGGTCAGGTCAAACACCTGAAATCGGGCTTTCAGTAGCATGGACTTCAGGACTTCGCAATGGGCGCCTCTCGCCATAAACTCTGTCAAAACGGTGCACAATCCATCTTATAAGGCCTACAAGAGTGTCAGCTCCATGTAGGGGTCAGTCAAGCATAATAGGTCAGGGTCAAGGTCAGGTCAACCGGGTAGGCACATATCCCCGAAAATCAAAACTGATATTCGCAGCCTGTGACACATGTTTTATAGGTAATTTGGGGCGTAGAACACGATAGTGACATTCATTTTATCATATGTGTACGTGTTTGGCTCAAAAAGTTCAATTTAATAAATTCATGTATCATGGTCATGAAGTAGTCACGAAAAATTGCCAAGATTCAGTTCAAGATTATGGAAAATGCGGAACGATAATCAATAATCGAAGATAGCCATTTGATTGACCATGGTATTGGCAGTCTAATGGCGTTTACGGCATGTCTGTATGTCTATTCTGTGATTTTATATGATTTTTTGAACATATGCCGTTTTTGGTCGAAAACTCAGAAATCATGACGTCACTAAAACCTCGATATCTTAAAAATTTTCCGACCGATTTTTTTGAAACTTTGTCACAATAACCTTTGATCAATTCCCTACAGGTACCTAAAATTTGGCGCGCCTGCGGCGCGCCGTTTTTATGGTATGGCCCGGCGAAAAAAGTGGGGGCGTTTAACGCCCCCCCCCCAGCAACTCGCGGGTTAACTTCTCCCCGTTACGAAATTCCCTCGGGTGGGGGTATGGGCGTTACCCTCACCCAAAGAGCATGACTTGGGGTAAATGTCAGGAATACATAGACCCGTATCCACCAGTCATGTCTTTGCAAGCGCAGCGGGACGGAGAAATGTATTTGATGCGCGCGACTAACAGTGGCGCGCAGCAAAGCCTTTCTCTGCCCGCGGGCGCAAACTGTAGCCTGTAGCGACACCTACCGCACGACGTGAGCACCACCGGCCCTCAGGCCTCAGTGAGCGCCAGCAGTGCCACGTGACAATATGTGTTCTGTCCACCGCCACCCCGCCGCCGCCTGTCTCGTTTATCTTGTAGCACTGTGAACGTGCTCCCGGCTATGTATATTGTTACCCTGATGTGTACCTCACGGGGGCGTTACCCTCACCCAAAGAGCATGACTTGGGGTAAATGTCAGGAATACATAGACCCGTATCCACCAGTCATGTCTTTGCAAGCGCAGCGGGACGGAGAAATTCCCATAGTCTGAGTTACCGTCTGATCTTCGAGTCTACTAATGGCCCAATAACAAGAATTCAAACGAAAATGCTTGAAGCTTAGGTTGCTTGTGTTGAATTGATCAATTTTTAAATGCCTGGATGTAATCAATCCCTCTCATTAACGATTATACAAAACGCTTAAACAAAATAATAAGATACCCCCAAGAAATTCATGTCTGTTCGGACACCTACACAGACTGGTGTTTGATTCATCTGTGATTGAATCGATTGGATTGAATCAAACAAAATTTGTTGAATCAAAAAGGTTTGATTCACCGTCAGGATTGTTTGATTCACAAGCCATGATTAAATCAAACGCATTGGGAATCAGGGTTGATTGAATCAAAAAAATTAATGATTCATGAACTTAAAAAAATTGATGTGAACGAACATAGTTTTAACACTACTGCCATTACATGACAACAAAAAGAACACAACAAATACAATACTATCCCTGATATTTTGTATAGGGTAAGGTGCCTAATTAGCGACCCCCTTAATTTGAACCGTCATTGCTCACGCTCTGTGGGTGGCACTGTGTTACTGGCTTGATTTTCGGAGAGATCGTTCATTTTTCTATAAAAATATAGCCGTTTTCTGCCCCAATGTTCACTAAGTTATTTGTAGTGAGCATTTTGGCAAACCATTGCAAAAAAAACGCTAATAGGGAACTCTTCCCGATTAGCGACCGGGGAGGGTCGCTAATAAGTCTATGGGTTTCCCCATATTAAAAATGGCAAAAAATGCGACGCCTGAAAAGATGAAATATGATCTCAAAAAGGTAACCTATACGCAAAGCACTCAATCACTCGAACAGGAACGTTTATCCAACACATTTACGTAAGTAAAAACTGATAACGTGATGCACCGAAGGCGAAAAGAAGGCGGAAACCCAAATTTTGCGGGCTATCTTGTATGATATTCGAGGTCCGCGCTGAATTCGGCACCTCTGCAGTCGGTGACGACATTTGGCATCCCCTGCCACACATTGCAAGCTTCAGCAGCACCTCATTTTCATTTCTTTCTTTTCCCCTTTCTTTCCCTTCTTGAGCTATTTGCGACCATGTCAGGCGCAAATAGGAAATATGAGTTGCCACACAATTTTAACCGCCATGCTGTGCACAGTTGAGCGATTCACTATGGGAAAACGGCAATCAATTAAAAAAGGTATGTCGATTCAGAATAAAAAAGGTGCATCATCCTAATCTGCATCGCTTTTCATCAGAGAGGGCCCAAACACACACGTTTTGGATAAGAAACTCGTCATTTTTATTTGAACTCACCTGAAACGTCCCACCAGAAACATCGACGACCGGAAAATAATTTAATTTGATAACCAAAGTATGGCTGACCTTTTGACGATGTTTCTACCCCGTTTTCTCCTGCCAGTTTTTCTGTAGGGAGGTAGGTCGCAAATCGGAAAGGGTCGCTAATTAGGCACCTTACCCTATTTTATTTTTTAACTGAATCAAAAAAGAATCATTCAAAAAAAAATTGGCTGAATCAAACGTGAATCATTCCTTTTATTGTTTTTTGATTCTCTGAATCAAAAGGAATCGATTCACCAAATTTTTTGAAGGAATCAAACGGTGAGTGAATCAAACAAAAATCAAATGAATCAATGATTGAATCGATCCAAAAAAGGTGAAACAAAAACCAGTCGGCATCTACAAACTGTGCCCACTCATATGAATTCACCACAAAGTCTGCATTGTTCGGAGTAGATCTAGACAGCTGATCTGAGAAGATTTTATTCATTCATACAGCTATGGTGAGAGACGATGCCGTCACGACGCCCAAGGGGAACACTGATGTAACCCATAGGTATCGATGATTCAGGCACGGATGTGAGATATCTGCTGTCGACTCGGCATGGAACAGGGCCGCATATTTTTAACTCCCATCTGCAGCAGGGCCGCGTGCTCCTGACCCGCCCGGAGCAAGGCCGCGTGCTCCTGACCCGCCCCGAAGCAGGGCCGTGTGCTCCTGGCCCGACCCAGAGGCGTGCTCCTGACTTGCCCAGAGCAGGCCCCCTGCCCCATTTGTTTTGCGCACGCTGCTGAGAGTAAAAACGGATCTCTGGGGCAGATGTGACGCGTCTCGGCGGCTCGGTTGTTTGGTCCTGTCGACGTGCCGTGAGAGATGGCCGCTGGCCATGCGGCGGCTGTCGGCGGCTGTCTGGGACTGTCGAGGACGGCGACAGGTGCGGCGCCGACACAGGCCCGATCGGGCAGCCCCTGACCGACTGACCGGAGCGCGGGCACGGCCGACGCAAAAACCGACAGCGGGGAGTGGACGCAGAGAGACATGGGGCGTGAAATCGCGTACGAGTATGGCGAGCGTCGGCTCATAAAGACAAGTGGAAATGCACACACAGATAACGCTGCCGCCACGCAAAAACTGCAGGCAATGTTCTTGGCTGTCGCGTTGAAAGGCCTACGCAATGACTTGTAAGGACAGGGTATTACGGTATTACCATATCCGGTCCGGTTGCTTTAAGCGTTTCATTCGTCAGCCATTTCGCAAACCTATGCGGTTTTTCTATGAGTCAATAGATACCGATAGCAAGTATGTACGAAGGCACGCCTACGTTGCATCCAAACGCAATGCCACAAAGCGTTGCAACTGCGTGGAAATTCCTCGACAACACGACTGTGACAGGCTGTGTGCCCGTTGAGCCATTTTATTTCAAATGCCGTCAGCAGGATTTGAATGCGTCTATAGCTATGCATAAAATATACAAGATAGGTATGCTATGGGGAGTGTAGGTAACCTGTCGCATGATTTTAGGTACACGAGTGCAGGCAACCGTGCAAGGCACCTATGTTCCTAATGTTCAGCAATCAATGTATGTATTATGCATGCAGAGTATAATCAAATAGCATATGCAAATTACCCAGCCCTGTAGAGGCGGACGAAAAGAGACGATCCATACAATCATCAATGTATCGAGCTTACATCCATGAGATTGAGAATGCATCGAACGAAGCATAGAACAATATACTTGCACACTAAGTTTGAAGTGCAAGCTGCGTGCATGTGGACAGCTGTGACTCTCACTGGTATAGCTTGCTGAACACTGCTTGCTCAAGTCTCAAAGTGTTGTCACGTTTTCACGCAGTGCGACTGACCGGCCGCCCTCCCGTCCGTCCGCAGAATGGCCTCTGCCCTGTACCTGAGTCTGGTGCTGAGCGGAGTCGGCGTCTGCCTCGCCGCTCCCGACTTCTACTCGGCCTGGTGCCCCTGCAGGCGCTCCAACCAGTGTCCCGTGCCGTACGGCAGCTTCTTCGACGACATCGCCCTGTTCGGAGAGGTGCCGCCCTGCAAGAAGTTCGACTACGTCCGCTGCTGCTCGTCCAGCAACATTCCGGAGGGTTTCGACTTGGCGCGGCGGCCCGAGTACCTGCCGCGCGCGGTGGCACCCGCAGAGAACAGACAACAGGGCCGGCTGCTGGCCGTCGCAGCCGACACCGAAATCGACTTGCAGAGCATCGAAAAGCGACAGGATGTCATCGACTTCAAGGCAGCCCAGGAAAAGCTGAAGCGCGACATCGCCAACGGGATTGACAACCCGAACCCGCCGTGCGGCTGCTACACGGCCGGCACCTGCCCGGGCCGGTACTCGACCAAGTCGACCGGCCGCGACATCGGCTGTCTGGCCGGCTTCGAGACGTGCTGCTTCCTCGACGACCCGTGGCCCAACTACCAGGTCACCAACCTCACCATCAACGCGCCCTGCTCCATCGAGGAGGCGTGCTCGCGCTTCTTCGGCAGATCGCCGTTCGACATCGCGTCATTCGGTCCGCTGGAGCCGTGCTACCTGGGCCAGAACCGGTGTCTGGACTACCTGGCTGACAGCACCGGCAACACTCCCACCGTCGTGAGACCCCCCACAACGCAGGCGCCCACCACCAGGCGAACGACCACGCGGCGCACGACCACTCGGCGAACAACTACGACGCGGCGTCCTACGACTACCTACCGCACCACGACACGCCGTCCTACAACCACCTACCGCACCACAACACGACGTCCCACAACCACCTATCGCACTACGACACGTCGTCCTACGACCACGTACAGGACCACCACGTCGCGACGTTTCCCAACTACCTACAGAACCACGACGCAGCGCCCCACGACCACCTACCGGACCACAACCGAGAGGCAGCCAGAGCCGGAGCCAGCTCCGAGCGGCGGCAGCAGCAACAACATCATCGACATCATCACCAACGGAGCCTACCTGCCCCCGTCCTACGACTTCGGCAACGCGGCGGAGCGGGCAGAGCCGGACGACATCCAGTTCGCCCTACCGTTCTGAGCAAGCACTGCTGTAAGTCAGAGATTCTCACAGAACACTCCTGCAGTGATCTTTGTGCTTTTGGAGGAGGGAAGGGATTGTTGTGCTTTGAGAGCTGCTGGCAAGCTGAAGTGTCCTAATCTACCCAAAGCGCGCAATCAGTAGCCAATTTATGTAGGCGGCTTGTCCTCAAATTTCAATGATAGAGTCGGTAGTCACCAGAACGTGCTTGAAAACAGGCCAGTGGAAAGACGAAGGTGTAGCTCTTGTGTCGAACGAAACAAGGTAAAATTGAGTAGCGTTGGCCAGTCCAGAAATGGAGAACGTGAGCCACCATGGTTGAATCTGATGCCTGGTTAGGGGATGGCGGCTCAACGCATCCCTCAGAAACCGGGGCTGTCTGTCTGTTGGGAGGAAATTGGCTAAGTCCCATTGTCGATGATGAGTGTTCACCACGTCCCCTTACGGACCAGTCCTGCCGCTGCTGCGCCAGTCGGCTGCTCTGAGTGTTGTTCTGTATTCAGTTTATGAGCGCGCTCGTGGCGCCGTGTGTGCGTCGGTCGTACGTCGGGTGTGTTTTCGTGCCTGCCGGACCGGTATCAGATGAAACGGCCCGGCTCGGACGCGAGGCGTCGGAGAGTCGCGCCGCTGAGCGCGACAAATCGCGCACGCCGCTTGTTTTGTTTCTCGTCGACGTAATACAGTGTGTGTGCGGAGGAGTGTAACGACGCTTTCTTTGGAGATACCATCCAGTGAGACAAGGTCATCAATATGCATTGAGTGAGCCAACAGCAGTGATGTCCGTACTTGGGTCACTAGGTCGACAGCTATTGATTTTGCAACAGGATGCACATCGAAATATGAATATGACGAGAAACGTTACCGATGACACGAACATGTGATATGGCCATGGACCGGAGGTCAGTCTCGGGCTCCGGACAGCGCGGCCATGAGCGCTCGCCCGGAGAGCATTTGTCTTGGGAAGGGCGACGGGGACGCACGGTGACAGGTGGATCAAGGTCCTGCACGGCGCGGCTGGCGTGTCATCCCGTGTGCGACTCGGCCACGTCAATAGAGCCATGTCACAACAGTCGTGTCACTGCGTCACACGGCCCTCGGGAACGTGTAGCACACAGGCCGTCACAAAGCCCGGCTGTGCAGGCCGGGTCGATGCGTCACACTGCAGCGGCGACGCCAGCGCTGCCAAACCACACGGCCTATAGGAGCGCTTCGCTCCGGCGACCAACATAACGCCAATGCGGGGAATGCGTAACGTCTGACCCACATCGGCGGGTCACAGACGATGAATCAGAACTGCGCGCTGCCAGTCAGCAACGCCACACCATCCGAGTCGGACCTTTTTCACAACCGCAAAAATGGCAGACAGCACATCAATCAAATGGCGCACAATTCCTCACGGCCCGAGGGGATCCCACAAAGCAGGACTATGCCGGAGTTGGCCTCCGTCATCAGAGAGCCGGCCATGTGGCTGGCAGGCAGCGCCAGGCACAGATTCAGGAGCCTCATTTGCTGCGGACCGTGAATGCTAAACGTCGCGTTGTGAGCGGTGGCAACAGGCACAGAAGCGCGTCTGCCGTCTGCACATGCTCAACTTGCTCTTTACATAAATTTACATGTGCGCGCGTGTTGCATTTGGGCCATCCCCAAATCTTCCAGCCGTATTTAGTTAAGTTGGCTACTTAAACCAGGGTATATTGAGTGAAGGGTAGGACGAACTTTGGTAGGAATTTCTAGTATAACTACTAGAAAACCTACTATATGTGGTCGGGACTAGCAAAAAGTTAATTCAAACTAGAATATGGTAGCGCTTATGGTTGACAGTCGTCACGCGCACGTGACATTCATTTCTTAAATTCCTTAAATAACAGGTTTTAGGGGCCGATTAGTGGGCAGATACATTCAATTAGCTATTAATAATTGATTATGCAAACATTCAAGAATCTACATCATTCAATTCTAGCCAAAATCACGCGGCGCTCCCAGGATTCGAACTCACGACCCTCGGATCCGTAGGCAGATACGCTACCGACTCCGCTACCGCGGACCGCGCGCCGACGATCGGAGAGGCGGATCGCGGGTGCTGGCGTGCAGAGAAATCTTTACCCTGTACGCCGTAGAAGATCGGCTGGGTTTCGTGAAAAATGGTAGAGGAATCGTCGAAAGAAAATTCATCGATCTATCATTTGAGACCAAGAACCATTGATTCCTACAAAGGTTGACCGAGATATCGCTCGCCGAAAACAGGCCATTTAACATGTAAACCCTATGGGCTGGTAGGAAATGTACGCCGTGGAGCAGCAGTGCTACCAACTAACTTCGGCGGGGGCCGACTTAAACCACATCACGCATTGGCATTCAGTTCAGGTTGCTCTGCATTAGGCCATGCCACCTCCATTTCAGACGACCAGCATACCACACAGTAGCATTGATTTCCCCCTCACGAACGCGGAAGTAGCATGCATAAACACCTTACGAGCGTTATAAGACTGTATGAAGGCGTTAATGGGGATAAAACGACCTTATGCCAATCTATAAGCCTACTGTACAGTGTAGGTACACGTAGTGAGGAGTTGAGGGATAAGAGCCCGGGATGACCCGTTCATAAAACTGGAAAATCCGAGTTTCCGACGGGCGCCGGATCTCATGACATGATACCTAATGTATGCATTCCAGTGGCGCCTTTCTGATCAGTGCGAGTGAGAACAGCACCGGCCATGGCTGTTACGACAGCGCGGAATATGCATCCACCTGCGGGCTAACCGGGTACAAGATACGTCTGCAGATGACTGCCGGGTAGACCCGTCAGGCTAGGGAATACCTACAGGGGACAGGTGCGATTCAAGATGAACGCCTGCGGCCCGGCAGACGTGCGACGAAACATGATCACTCGCGAGCCGAGCGGGAGCGAAACGTGACTCCAAAGGAACGCTCGGATAGGAGTGGTTTGAAAGTCAGATGAAAGATAGATAGTCTCCATATTACTTACTCAAACATGGAAAATGCAGAGACGACCAATTGCACAAAACTGCCGCATTGTGACATCCTCAAATCGAAGTTTTAACTAATGTTGTTTTAAATGGAAGATTAAATAGCTTCAAAATTTTCGGATGAAAAAAGGACAATGAATAAGGGGTTTGGGCGCCCCCTTATTCATTGTCCTTTTTTCATCCGAAAATTTTGAAGCTATTTAATCTTCCGTTTAAATAGCTTCAAACAAATAGGACAATGAATAAAAAGCATACGAGACGCTGATGAACGTTTCGATGTCACCGCAATATTCTTGGTCAATAACGGCTCATAAGTTAGTCTCTACTAGTGATGTCAATTACGGAAAATCGGAATACCGATACCAAACCAAATACCAACCAAAACCGAGGAGAAATACCGAAACCAAACCAACTTGGTAACATGAGGAAAATACCAACTTTTTACCGATTTCTTAGCCTCTTAAACATAAGCGAGGGTTCGTGATACCAACAAAATACCAAACACATTAGGATTGAAATACCAAATACCGAGTTGGTATCGGTTTGGTATCGGTATACCAAAAAGTTGGTATCCGATTGACATCTCTAGTCTCTACTTTTTTTTTAATAAAAGTCGCTTTCGAATTTCACATTGCACGTACCAATATTACATATTTTTGTTTTGGCTGATGAAATGAGACGGTGGGGGGCCCAGAGAGGAACATTTGACCGAGGCGATTTAACAGACTAGTGACGACTGTGACTCACACGAGACGAGTACCGCCGGGTACGGCAGAACCCTTAGGATCCACTGTATGAGCGGACCGGTCACCAGCCTCTGTTTACCTGACAACTCAAACTGTTATCCACTGCAAATTCCCCGGAATTGATCCACGCTGACAAAGTGCATACTAGCCTTGATTTAAGACCATTTCACGGTGACTTGCACCGCATATCACAACAGCTGAAACGTTTGCATTAGTTGATGAATTCCAGAGACTGTGCAGTTTTGACACACGAATCACGCCAGAAGTAAAGCAGGTGCAGAATGAGAAAACCCTTTTGCAGTCTGATAAAATACCACAAATTCTCTTTGAGATGACTGGACGACGGACGCAAAAAGTCAACACCGGGATACCGATGCGATTTGCTGCAGTAGCCAGTATTTGTCGGAGCCAGACCTGCTGCAGGAATCAATGTGGTTCATACACATTATACACAATCCTATATCCCTTAGCGTCTAGCGGTAGCACAACTAGAACGCGTACATAGGTTGTTGCCTTTTGAGTTGTCTCGAGAAACAGGTCACAGGTCAAATGTCACTGGCGCCAGGGCCATGACATTTTTCAGAGAATGTGTAAAGTTGATAAGTCGAGGGTGCTTGAAGTTTCAGCCACTTTTACGCGAGTTATTATAAAAAAAAACAATAGAGGGGGCCATCAGCCCTCCCCCTTCCCTATAAGTGCGAGGATAAAGATGCTTTTTTGTCAGTGCCGTTTATTTAACAATGTCATGTTGATTGTCGTCATGCTTTTCTGTACACAAAGGAGAAGCACAAATGCGACTGCGTAAGTGAAGTAAATAGATGTTAACACAAAAATCCGCTCCGGCTAAGATTGCAAAAGTACATAACCTTTTCCAAAATTCAACTAAAAGCTAATATAGGTTTGATGACTGCATATGAAACGGTACTAAATAAATATTCTAGTTTTGCTGTATAAAAAGCGATAAACAAAAAGCGCATACAAACTGCAAACTAAGCATACATGAACACACCACATACACATCACAAAAAGCTGCCAGAACACGATCAGACTATGCGATGAGATTCGATGAAATTCACGCTAATTACGTCCCCATGTCACTATGTGATTCCTATAAAAGCACGCGCTCGGCCTCCGTGCACAGGCCGGCTGGTCTCAGAGTGACTGACGGGAGTGATACGCCCCTGGCCGCCCCGACACTCCCGGGCGCCGACACTGGGCAGCCAGCGGGGACAGAGATGTGTGTGGGGACCGACTGGCGCACTGCTGAGAGCTACTGACTGCTCTAAACGTGACTATGTCCGCAACAGACGTAAACTCTGATCAATAACGGTAACACCGCGAACAGTATATCACACAGGATAGCTGAACACTGACCCACAACCACCGCCTGCTACGGAACAGCTCTCCTAGAAGCTAGTTAGTCAAAGTTGCACAATCACTATGCTTTAGAAAATAAGCAGCAATTTCAACTTTACAGGTAACGTTCGCCCATACTAGAAGTTACAGTGACCATCTCAACTTAACATTAGTTTTGAGTTGAGATAGCCAAATTGGGATCCCTGGCTTGCAATTACCGGTTTGGGCACTCACAACATCGAGAAATGCCTTAAATCGAAAATATTTACTTTCAAAGTTGCAGCACTTTGGATTCAGAGGGGCTATTGCATGTCAATGCCCCCTCTGAATTTGTAACGTCAGTGCCAAGCTAACGATTTTTAAATCATAAATCGCATGCTAAACCCTTTGGCAAAACGTGGTGGTATATGCTGTTCTGCGCGCAACATCTGCCGCAATTTAAGGATGCCATTGCTTCCAATTGACGTCACAGGAACAGCGGAGGTCCCGAGAAGTATACAAAAGCTAAAGTGTAATATATTGAAATGAAAACCAGTGAACATTTTTCGGTGAAATTTGGTAGATATTCGTTTTTGCTCTTTCTGAATCGAGCGATATCACTTTTATGCCAATGCATAAACCTTTTTTTAAGGTGGGAGAATCCCTTTTATTGTACCGAAATATTCCCCCGACTAACAGTAACAACACGATAGATGATTTCTCTGAGAGTTCAAAATGTATGTTTTAGTCCATTGTTCCCGGCGTTCAATAACTAGCTTTACAAAACTATCAATGAATTTCATTAACTGATCCTTATCCTAGACTAAGGCGTCACATTACCGATCACTAAAAAATTTGCACACTACGCGGCGTCTAGCTTCAGGAAAAGCATCTATCACCACTTATTACATTCATTATCACATATGGTCACTGAAGAGCGCTCTTCTTTGCTGGTCTGCTCACTGCGAACACTTCTCACAGACCAACAGACCCGCCTCACAACCAACCAGCGAGCGGGCGAAGAGAGCATTCATCCACAACCGGGTTCTGTACTCTGGCGACCTATGGGCGGCACCGTCACATCACAGCACTGCCTCTCCGGCGGACGGCAGCACCGTTGGGCCCCTCTGCCGGCGCTGGTGACTGTTCCCCGCCCGTGGCGCCTCTGACCCGGCCCAGCCCGTACCGGGGCGACCCCTCACGGGGGCGGCGTCGGCGGCGGCCGGCCGGCGGCGCTGGCGGAGCAGCTCGGCCGTGCCGCCGACGCCGACGCCCCGGGACAAATGCGGGCAGTCATCTCTCGCAGCGCCTCCAGTTCGCGAGGTTTAACCAGCTCGAACTCGGTGACAAAGTAGTAGAAGTGCTTGTAACATGTGTTGACATGGGCCTCCTGGTGACACAACGTGACTTTAATCAGCCGAGATGCTTTCGGATCAGTCTTTTGCGTCTAAAAAAAAAGAGATAAAAATAGCCTGTATAATGAGCAGTTTACGATTCTGAACGTGTTTATTGTCTGGTCTAACAGTTCAAAGGCCCAAATAAGATTGCCATAAACTAGCAAGAGACGAGTTCTCTTCAATATGTCGAAAAAAAATATCGCCTAAGCGAGCCGATCTGACCCGACCATGACAACAAAGTCTACGCGTTAAAAATCAGCCGGATCGAGCAGCCACATTCAAGCATTGGATCCAGGATCCTATGATGAAACAACTATTCCTGCCCCACACCATCTAGAGTGCAGCGAAACTGAAGATGAAAATCCAAATGACTCAGATAATGAACGAAATCTCCATCTAAAAAGCAAAGCTGTAACAAATTTAAAGAAACTTTAAAGCTGTTAATGGCTTATTTAGCTTCTGCTATAGTTCGAGGATCTCTGCAGTCTACACAATGCCCAATATCAATAAAACTTCAAACAACAGATCAAGTATAGGCCATAGCGGTCAATGATTGACTGAATTCCACGGCACTACTGGAATGACAGCCAACTTCTAAGCAAACTGTTTAAACAATACACGAAATCAGGATTTAGCAAGTTGGTTCTCGGAGATTCAGAATATTTCATCTGTTTCGTTTCTTGCCTCAACTCTGGCTCCAGAGATCACAAGAACAGTGTCATGGACTGTCAAGCTAGCCCAGTGTCGCGCGTCCTCGACCACCACTGAGCTGGTGAAACTTTGTCTTGAACGACAGCGCCGGGCTCATGCCGTTCTACAATTCTACTTTCAGCGCAAAACGGGTACTCACCGCTCCTATGGCGACCAACGAGTCGAAGTGATGAATGTAGACGTGTACGAATACGCGGAACAGCCGCGTCAGCATCTTCTTGCACTGGCTGATAAACGTTTTCGGAAACGGTTTATCTGAAAAGGTGACGGAAAATGATTTAGTGCTACTCAATATGAAGAGCCTTGTCTTGCATCCACACTCCTCTCGAAAGCTGCGGAACTGTTGGTACCGGTGGGCGGTGAATCATCACAATAATTAAATCGGCAAACGGAGTAATAGAAGCCACATATGCACGCCTAACGCATCATGAATTGAATATCGATTTCAGAATACAGTACGCAAATAGTGCGATACCCATGCCAAAAAGTGGCTTCACAGACACAGTGGCATGCAGACCGAGCAGAACTCACCGACAGTGGCCGGGAAGAGCGACTCGTCGTTGATCTGCGTTTCGACCCACTCCATCAGCAGTGTGATGTACTGGGGTGCCGGCAGCGCGGTGGGCCGCTTGTAGCGGACACCGTCGGCCCAGCGGTATTCGAACTTCGGTCCGCCGGACATCACCGGACACGACTCCTCCGTGCAGTTGTCACAGACCGTACCGTAGATCAGGTTGATCCGGTTGAAGAAGTCTACCACTGGAGAAAACAGGTAATCAAAGATGGATATTTTATCCGCAACAAAAGATATCATCACCACCATCATCGGTTTTTCCCTTATGAAGGAAATATTTCTCATATCAAAACAGTACTCATAATGACCCAAAAGTCACCTGAGAGAAATTAAGTTTAAGTAAAAATTTAGCACCCCTTCAAAGCAAGAAAGCATCTTTACAAGTATCGGTACAAGTGATAAACGAACATACGTTGAACTTACTCTGAAGTCACTCTCGAGTACCGTGTACCTTCCACGCGATTTATGGATACCAACTAGAAACGACACACATCTAATCTGCCGAGTCCGGCGGCCTCGCCCCGTACCGTGCACGGCGATCCAGTCGTTGAGCTGCTCGCCGGGCGGCAGCCGGACCGCCAGCCGCAGGTCCAGCCCGCAGTTCAGCGATGCCTGGGCGTGCTTGTACAGTGAATACTTTATCGTGCCCGGCTGGAAGTTCTTCTTCGGCCGAAAAGTCTGCAGATCGTAAACGAATATTTGAACAAATGAACGCTCCACTGAGCTACTTGACATTGTGACAAGTAGCCCAGTAACAAGTGAACAGTTAGCACCACATGGGCAACGTCAATGTCAGAAACGAGTTTCAGACTCGTAGTAGTTTCATCAATATTTCTATACAGAATGCATGGATAAGTAGTACCTATATTGAAGTCACACATCATATTAAGGCTCTTTTCTGGCACCATCTTACCTTCCCCTTGTGGAATAAGTCAGCGAGGCCTCCCAAGGAAGCCATGTCGAAGCTGGGAATTGCTATCGCAGTGAGGTGTTCACCTGTTTATTGAGTGGCTTTACATCAGTGCCAGTTTGTCTAATATACCGCTGGGAAAAGAAAAGCAAAAACATGGTCAACAATAATGTGACTTAGCTACGCTACAGTAGATAAAATTACCAAATGGAAACACCAATGTAGCATTACCTCTTCTGTCACCAATTTGTAAGTAAGGAGATAATGTAAGAACCTAGTGAAATATGTACCTACCTACCTACCAAGAATGACAGCAAACAATAATTTAACACATCAGTGGCCAATTTTACCCCCCCCCCCCCGTCCAGCTAATATAGATTGAGTCCAACAGCAGACACATAGTCAGTCACTGTGAAATGTGAATGCTGCCACTGGCACAGTGGCCAGTGCACATGTCAGCTCAACCACAACATGCCCTCACACACCATAAATGTGCTGAGGACTAAACAAACTTCGGACACTCACAAAATAAATTCATGAAGAGAAAGAGTACATCCTTTTAAGCTTGATAAGTTACACCTCACCTTGATGCTTACAATACTTTTCACACAAATCCAAAAGTTACACCCAACCAGACCCTGAGTGTGTTGAGGTTGGAACTTTGATTACCATAGGCTAGATTAGGTTAGTTTTTGATATTTATGGTTATAGAATGCCTGTTTTTTGGGGGGAGTGATTACATTAATGATTTTCAAGGTCATTTTAACCAAAACCATGCAGAGAATCTGGTGATCTTCCTAACAAACTCATGAACAATTCATCCATTGAACAAGTAAGAAATCCATGGTTTCCTCTTGAATGGTTGGGCAGTCTCTAGCAAACTTAGTTTCAATGGTGCAAGGTTTTATAGCTTAGGAAATTTACCGAAATGACCATTGAAAAACAATTCTTCCAAATCCAATGACCATTGAAAAACAATTCTTCCAAATCAAGCATACATATTGAAAAAACGCCACCCATGTTATGCTGGAAATTGTCTTCAGGCTCAGGTTCAGGTTCAGGTTCATGTTCAGGTTATGAGCTAGGAGTAGACGTCAGACGATGTCTATTTGGTGCTCATATCGTGGAAGGCACTGATCAGAGGATGAGCTTTCAAATACACAATTTTTTAGCACTCAAGGCAGTCTTGGCAGTGTTTCACAACCACGCTGCCAGCTACTGCCAGCACATTTCGCGAGCTGATGACATATCTCCTTGCGGTAGTGTGGAGCTATGCGTTTGTTGTTTCCATGGAAATCGAAATCGGCACATCTGCTGGCAGCGCGCTGGCAGTGTCGCCCGTCGGTGAAACACAACCCTTAAATGGTATTTTTATGCTTTTTTGGCAAAGTAAATTAATGTAGGTACCTACCAGGGGGGTACGCTCCGGCTGTTAAGCATTATGAAAAATGGTGACAGACGTTTGTGGAGGATTGTCGACGAACTCTTGTTCCGTGAGCAGTACTTACACGCTAGCGGAAAATTCACCAATCAGCGCTCGGCGGTACTCGACGCTGATTGGTCCGACGCTCGTGACGAAATTGCGGGGGACCGCAGTTATTCTCTATGGACCCGAATAGGCTTTTGGATTTCGGAGGGGTTTCTTTAAAATTATATGCTGTTTCGAGCTGTTTTCGAGTTGAAATATATTTCTTATGACTGTTACCTATATAATGGCACCATAAAATCATGATTTTGATAAATATTACCGATGAAATATCGGCCGAAAAGACATGCTGTCATGGTACGGACTGCCCTGCGGCTGATGTGGGGTCCCTAATGCCAGCGTATGGTAATAATGGGGTGACGAAGGGTTATTGGAGACTCTTAGAGCCCCATCAGCATTCAGCATAGGGTCATCAGAGGCCGGGAACGTCCATCAGGGGTCTGAGTAGGCCTGTCATAGGGGCATACATGACACATCATGGCCCATGGGTCAATGTAGATCCATGGGGCCGTTGAAGGGCCAGCATTGTTCAGCGTGGGCTCGCAATTACCTCTGATGGGCATATGCCGTGCCCCGATGGACTAACGCTGGCCCCTGATGAACCATCACCAGCCCCTGATAGGTCTACAAAGCCCACTGCTGGGTCTAAATTGGTCACTGATATGCCCAAATGGGCCACTGAGAAACCCGTACAACATCCCCTGACTGCACCTGCTGGACCAGTGCCGTCCTCTCATGGGCCCACCACAGCTCTTGAATGACCTTTTCAAGTCCCTTGAAGTGCCTTTATTGGCCTAAATGGCCCCTGATTGGCTTATGTGGTCCCTATTGGTCCTATATGGCCCCCATGAGCCCTCAACGTCCCTAGACGGCCTTACATTATATGTCACTGGGCCCTGTTGGGTCAGCACCGGCCCCTGATAGGCTTGCACTGGACCCACCGGGCCTATACCGACCCATGAAGGGCCTATGTCGAGCCCTCATGGGCCTCCGATGACCACACGCCGGCATGTGTGGCCCCATCAGCAGTGGTCCGTCTATCCCATGTACTTACGGTCTTTTTGGTCGATGTGACACCGGTAGTATATAGAAATGTTATGATTAAATGTCGTTATTACACAGTCAAAAGTCACAGAAAGAATATCCAAGCTCAAAAATGGCCTCAAACCCAACAAAAACTGGTACAAATCCCCTTCAAAAGCCGTAAGTCTATTAAACGCCATAGGGGAATAGCTGCAGTCCCCCGCAATTTCGTCACGAGCATCGGGCCAATCAGCGTTGAGTATTGCCGAACGCCGATTGGTCGATTTCCGCTAGCCTGTAAATGCTGCTTGCGGATATAGTTTTGAACAAAAGAGGGTCGCGGCTACTAATTATCGCTTGTCACCACTTTTTCGTCGGGAGCGTTCTACCTGGTTTATATAGCCTTGGTACCTACCTAACCTAGGTACTTACTACTTGCCTTGTAAGATTTTAAACTCCAGTTATGAGTGAGTTATGTTGATGTGTAAGACAATCCTTATCGTCTTGGCAGCTGGCTGAGACCAAACCAGAACCCAAAGGAATATCTCGACCAATCAAAATCTTCACCTGGACCACCCTAAGCAACACACACCAGCATCATGAATGGGATTGACCATAAAATAAAAATAACCACGATATATTAATATTTTCGGCCGTCAAGCTCTTTCTGCCAACTTTCTGCCCTTTCTAATGCACAGTTGCGCAATTTTGTTCAGTGCTTATGTCAGCTGTTCATTTAAGGCAATCTCCTGTTTCACAAACTGACGTCATTTAGCTCTTTTGTTCAAAAATGGTAAAAAATAGTCTCAAAAATGGACAACACTATTCGACCGCCACCCTTGCAGCCATTCTATAACTCAGGAACTACTGGACCGATCGGAACGAACGAAACACCATTCGAATCAGGAGGTACGATTTTATCAGCCGTTTCGAAGCTCGTGACCCCAGGTGACCTCGGTGACCTCAAGAGGTCAACTCGGCATTGACGCCAATTGCAGCCATTCTATAACTCAGGAACTACTGGGCCGATCGCGACGAAAACACCACCAGTCGAATCAGCGTATGCAATTTCATCAGCCGTTTCGAATATGGTGACCTCAAGTGACCTCGGTGACCTCAAAAGGTCAACTTTACGTTTTCGCCTATTGCAGCCATTCTATAACTCAGGAACTACTGGGCCGATCGTGACGAAAACACCACCAGTCGATTCAGCGTATGCGATTTCATCAGCCGTTTCGAATATGGTGACCTCAGGTGACCTCGGTGACCTTGGGAGGTCACATGACCAATGTGGCCTATTGCAGCCATTCTATAACTCAGGAACTACTGGGCCGATCGTGACGAAAACACCACCAGTCGATTCAGCGTATGCGATTTCATCAGCCGTTTCGAATATGGTGACCTCAGGTGACCTCGGTGACCTTGGGAGGTCACATGACCGTTGTGGCCTATGGCAGCCATTCTATAACTCAGGAACTACTGGGCCGATCGTGACGAAAACACCACCAGTCGATTCAGCGTATGCGATTTCATCAGCCGTTTCGAATATGGTGACCTCAGGTGACCTCGGTAACCTTGGGAGGTCACGTGACCGTTGTGGCCTATTGCAGCCATTCTATAACTCAGGAACTACTGGGCCGATCGTGACGAAAACACCACCAGTCGAATCAGCGTATGCGATTTCATCAGCCGTTTCGGATATGGTGACCTCAGGTGACCTCGGTGACCTTGGGAGGTCACATGACCAATGCGGCCTATGGCAGCCATTCTATAACTCAGGAACTACTGGGCCGATCGTGACGAAAACACCACCAGTCGATTCAGCGTATGCAATTTCATCAGCCGTTTCGAATATGGTGACCTCAGGTGACCTCGGTGACCTTGGGAGGTCACATGACCAATGTGGCCTATTGCAGCCATTCTATAACTCAGGAACTACTGGGCCGATCGTGACGAAAACACCACCAGTCGAATCAGCGTATGCGATTTCATCAGCCGTTTCGAATATGGTGACCTCAGGTGACCTCGGTGACCTTGGGAGGTCACATGACCGTTGTGGCCTATGGCAGCCATTCTATAACTCAGGAACTACTGGGCCGATCGTGACGAAAACACCACCAGTCGATTCAGCGTATGCGATTTCATCAGCCGTTTCGAATATGGTGACCTCAGGTGACCTCGGTGACCTTGGGGGTCACATGACCAATGTGGCCTATTGCAGCCATTCTATAACTCAGGAACTACTGGGCCGATCGTGACGAAAACACCACCAGTCGAATCAGCGTATGCGATTTCATCAGCCGTTTCGAATATGGTGACCTCAGGTGACCTCGTTGACCTTGGGAGGTCACATGACCAATGTGGCCTTTGGCAGCCATTCTATAACTCAGGAACTACTGGGCCGATCGTGACGAAAACACCACCAGTCGAATCAGCGTATGCGATTTCATCAGCCGTTTCGAATATGGTGACCTCAAGTGACCTCGGTGACCTCAAAAGGTCAACTTTACGTTTTCGCCTATTGCAGCCATTCTATAACTCAGGAACTACTGGGCCGATCGTGACGAAAACACCACCAGTCGAATCAGCGTATGCGATTTCATCAGCCGTTTCGAGTATGGTGACCTCAGGTGACCTCGGTAACCTTGGGAGGTCACGTGACCGTTGTGGCCTATTGCAGCCATTCTATAACTCAGGAACTACTGGGCCGATCGTGACGAAAACACCACCAGTCGAATCAGCGTATGCGATTTCATCAGCCGTTTCGAATATGGTGACCTCAGGTGACCTAGTTGACCTTGGGAGGTCACATGACCAATGTGGCCTTTGGCAGCCATTCTATAACTCAGGAACTACTGGGCCGATCGTGACGAAAACACCACCAGTCGAATCAGCGTATGCGATTTCATCAGCCGTTTTGAATATGGTGACCTCAGGTGACCTCGGTGACCTTGGGAGGTCACATGACCAATGCGGCCTATGGCAGCCATTCTATAACTCAGGAACTACTGGGCCGATCGTGACGAAAACACCACCAGTCGATTCAACGTATGCGATTTCATCAGCCGTTTCGAATATGGTGACCTCAGGTGACCTCGGTGACCTTGGGAGGTCACATGACCAATGTGGCCTATTGCAGCCATTCTATAACTCAGGAACTACTGGGCCGATCGTGACGAAAACACCACCAGTCGAAACAGCGTATGCGATTTCATCAGCCGTTTCGAATATAGTGACCTCAGGTGACCTCGGTGACCTTGGGAGGTCACATGACCGTTGTGGCCTATGGCAGCCATTCTATAACTCAGGAACTACTGGGCTGATCGTGACGAAAACACCACCAGTCGATTCAGCGTATGCGATTTCATCAGCCGTTTCGAATATGGTGACCTCAGGTGACCTCGGTAACCTTGGGAGGTCACGTGACCGTTGTGGCCTATTGCAGCCATTCTATAACTCAGGAACTACTGGGCCGATCGTGACGAAAACACCACCAGTCGAATCAGCGTATGCGATTTCATCAGCCGTTTCGAATATGGTGACCTCAGGTGACCTCGGTGACCTTGGGAGGTCATATGACCAATGCGGCCTATGGCAGCCATTCTATAACTCAGGAACTACTGGGCCGATCGTGACGAAAACACCACCAGTCGATTCAGCGTATGCGATTTCATCAGCCGTTTCGAATATGGTGACCTCAGGTGACCTCGGTGACCTTGGGAGGTCACATGACCAATGTGGCCTATTGCAGCCATTCTATAACTCAGGAACTACTGGGCCGATCGTGACGAAAACACCACCAGTCGAATCAGCGTATGCGATTTCATCAGCCGTTTCGAATATGGTGACCTCAGGTGACCTCGGTGACCTTGGGAGGTCACATGACCGTTGTGGCCTATGGCAGCCATTCTATAACTCCGGAACTACTGGGCCGATCGTGACGAAAACACCACCAGTCGATTCAGCGTATGCGATTTCATCAGCCGTTTCGAATATGGTGACCTCAGGTGACCTCGGTGACCTTGGGAGGTCACATGACCGTTGTGGCCCATGGCAGCCATTCCTCCCAAGGTCACCGAGGTCACCTGAGGTCACCATATTCGAAACTGCTGATGAAATCGCATACGCTGATTCGACTGGTGGTGTTTTCGTCACGATCGGCCCAGTAGTTCCTGAGTTATAGAATGGCTGCAATAGGCCACATTGGTCATGTGACCTCCCAAGGTCACCGAGGTCACCTGAGGTCACCATATTCGAAACGGCTGATGAAATCGCATACGCTGAATCGACTGGTGGCGTTTTCGTCACGATCGGCCCAGTAGTTCCTGAGTTATAGAATGGCTGCCATAGGCCACAACGGTCATGTGACCTCCCAAGGTCACCGAGGTCACCTGAGGTCACCATATTCGAAACGACTGATGAAATCGCATACGCTGATTCGACTGGTGGTGTTTTCGTCACGATCGGCCCAGTAGTTCCTGAGTTATAGAATGGCTGCAATAGGCCACATTGGTCATGTGACCTCCCAAGGTCACCGAGGTCACCTGAGGTCACCATATTCGAAACGGCTGATGAAATCGCATACGCTGAATCGACTGGTGGTGTTTTCATCACGATCGGCCCAGTAGTTCCTGAGTTATAGAATGGCTGCCATAGGCCGCATTGGTCATATGACCTCCCAAGGTCACCGAGGTCACCTGAGGTCACCATATTCGAAACGGCTCATGAAATCGCATACGCTGATTCGACTGGTGGTGTTTTCGTCACGATCGGCCCAGTAGTTCCTGAGTTATAGAATGGCTGCAATAGGCCACAACGGTCACGTGACCTCCCAAGGTTACCGAGGTCACCTGAGGTCACCATATTCGAAACGGCTGATGAAATCGCATACGCTGAATCGACTGGTGGTGTTTTCGTCACGATCGGCCCAGTAGTTCCTGAGTTATAGAATGGCTGCCATAGGCCACAACGGTCATGTGACCTCCCAAGGTCACCGAGGTCACCTGAGGTCACCATATTCGAAACGGCTGGTGAAATCGCATACGCTGATTCGACTGGTGGTGTTTTCGTCACGATCGGCCCAGTAGTTCCTGAGTTATAGAATGGCTGCAATAGGCGAAAACGTAAAGTTGACCTTTTGAGGTCACCGAGGTCACTTGAGGTCACCATATTCGAAACGGCTGATGAAATTGCATACGCTGATTCGACTGGTGGTGTTTTCGTCGCGATCGGCCCAGTAGTTCCTGAGTTATAGAATGGCTGCAATAGGCGTTAATGCCGAGTTGACCTATTGAGGTCACCGAGGTCACCTGGGGTCACGAGCTTCAAAACGGCTGATAAAATCGTACCTCCTGATTCGAATGGTGTTTCGTTCGTTCCGATCGGTTCAGTAGTTCCTGAGTTATAGAATGGCTGCAAGGGTGGCGGTCGAATAGTGTTGTCCCTCAAAAATGGGGGCTATTGGTAAATTACCATAAAGTATCAGCATCATCTATTTTACCGAAGCCAAGGCTATAACCGAAGCTATATCCAAATCTCATCTAAAATTAAAAAAAAATTGTCTGTTGCCATGGAAACAAAGCGACCTAAGCTACGATTATTTTATTGTGAACACGATTGCTCTGAGACCGTTTTTTGGCGCTCTTTAGACTAACGTAACGCAAGCAATTATTTGATGGCCGGGGAATGCCTGAATTATTTAGTGAGAGTTTTTATATCAAAATACCTTGAATTATTTGTAGAAAAATCTGAAACGCAGTTGAGATAGAATTATTTGGTAAGGTACCGGTTAAAGGTATTTGTAATTGGATCATTATATTACCTTTAAATCTTTGTACTTAAGAGCTAAAAGAGTTTTTGTAGAAAGTCATCTTCTATAGCCTTGAAGCCATCCCTCCATGACCTGACTCCATTCTGACTCCATGCAAAGGCTTTATCTTGATATGTCCTGTACAATCGGTTACACCGTTCCGTGCTTCTATCCTCAGGATACTGAAATCCTTCTCCTCCACGCCGCAACCCCCCTCCGGGCTGGACAGGCAACTTTATCTCATGCGGGCTGCTCCCTTGGAGCGGCACTGCTGCTCCCGAGGGAGCGCACCCCGTAGCCGGGTGCAGTGAGAGCCTTGGGGCTGGGTGGCCTGTCCTCTGGACGGGCTCAGCCCCGGCGACTCACTAGGGTGCCTGCCCAGACCAATGTCTCCCCTTATATCCTATCATCCTCCCGGCTCTTAAATGGGGTTTGTTCCCGTCGCTCCTCCAACCTCCTCCAAGCTCCTCTAACCTCCTCTCGTTTCAAAAAATCGTTCCCGTCGCTCCTCCAAGCTCCTCCAAGCTCATCTTGATTTCACATCTCACCACCACTATTTGCCTCCTCCCTCATCCCAAACGAAAGTTGGATTTTTGGAGGAGGCTCTGCGTAGACATATTTGGCGCACGTAATACAAATGTGGATTGTTTATAAATGAGGTTTGAGGGAAGTGGAATTGATTTTAGTGATCGATGAGGATGGGATATCTTTTAAAAGTAATGCTAGATATAAATATAAGGTTATTTTATTAGAAAGGGATTGTTAACTCTAAATAACTGTTTGCGCGCCATAAATCGCCGACCGTTACAGCCCGCAAACAGCTGATTTCCTCCCAAAAATGTTCCCGTGGCTCCTCTGAAACGGCTCTCCTCCAAGCTCATCCAACCTCATCCGAGATTTTTTGGGAGGAACGACGGGAACAGACCCATGGTCTTGTCAGACCGAAAGGGCCTAACCCAACAAAACAAAACAAAACAAACAAACAATTGGTTACATTTTGATCTCCACAGCACATGCCCACTCGTGCTACGTGTGCCTCACCAATAGGTACCTACCCTTGCACCTTGCCTTATACCTACCAAACTAGATGCCATTCAAACTTTATATTCACATATACCATGACAGGTGCGTGAGCCAGGGCCTCACGGGGCTCACAAGTCCTTTTGGACTTTGCCCTCATTTACTTACTCCAACTTCGTAGGTTTTGCAACTTGCCTTCTTGTATCTTGCCAGCTTTGAGATTGAACCTATTTTAGCCTTGCTGTTTGATGTTAATGGCTTAATTTCATGTTGCCATATCCAATTAACTTTACCTTACCTTACCTTACCAGGTACAGGAATTTAGATGGACAAACTTGGCCTGTTTTGGTCCTGATCTCATCGAGCTCCGTGCATGAGGACAGACATAGGATGAGCTAGTCTGGGATGTCAAAGCGGGATGCATCCCAGTGCTTGTCTAGTCGTGCTTTAAACTGGTTGAGTGAGCTTGAAAGAATCACCGACGATGGGAGCTAGTTCCAATCGTTTACTGCGCATACTGCCAAGACATTTCTTCGGGCGCGAGACATGGCTTGGCCTGTTTCTCCAATTTTGACTTGCTTAAGACTGATTTCCCATGCTTCAAACTTCATAGGCATGCATTCCAAGCCTAGGTATTTTATCAGACCTCTCACCTTATCCTTCCAGGCGGTGGGGGGGGGGGGCATTTTTGCCCCCTTTAGTTTTTTCGATATATCTCCAGAACCGCTGCGCCGATCGTCACCAAACTTTCAGTACCCTCCCGTGAACAGCTATTGGACATTGTGACAAAAAAAATCCAAATGCTATGATAGGTTGGCCGCTAATGACGTCAGAGTGTCGTCATTTCTGCCATTTTCGACCCCAAAAAAGGTTTTGCGGGAAGAGCTGTCAGGCCTACAGCTTTAGAGATACAGAAAAATGTTTCATACATAAAAGGTGTAGAATTGTAAGTGCTACAAAACTGCGATCTCGGATTTTTGAAATTTTTGGATTTTGACCCCCAAAAATAAAAAATAAGATTTTTTGAATATTATGGCCGAACAATCCAGATTTTTTTTTTAATTTCGAAAAAACGGAATATATGTAATAGTCCCTACCGCCTTCTATCTACATACCAAATTTGAGATCGATACCTCTTTTTTGGCCAAGTTAAGCGAAAAAAACTTCAAAATTAATTACGTCAAATTTTCAAACTCAATTTTTAGCAATTCTAGACCTCGTAGCGCAAAACAAAGACCACCATTAGACTCCCCGTGACGAGCTGCATCGAATCAATACCAATCTTATGCAAAACTATCTACTTTGAAATTTGACCTTTTTTTACCTGACTTTGACCTGACCTCCACAGAGAGTGACCTAAACTGTCTGATGGTCTTATAACCAACACCATTGAATTGGAAATAAAAAATTGGCCATAAAACATGCATCGCACAACCTTAGTAAAGTTGGGTTTATGTGGTCAGCCTTGGTGACCTGACCTGTGACCTGACCTGGTATGACCAGTGACCTCGCATAGCAACATATGTACTAGACAACTGACGCCCTATCGCTGATTTTCGACAAAATGCGTTTTCCTCGGTGTTATAGCGCTTTCCCTAGAAGACCCGTGAACGGTGAAACATTTTATCTTTGACCTGACCTGTGACGTCATCGGTGACCCCGAGGTCAATGAAATTTGGTTTCCTTCGACGAATTTGACAGGGCTATCGAACGCCGTTTGAATTTTCCGGATCCGTCCAGTAGTTTCGGAGATACGGGGGGGGGGCAAAAAATGTCCCCCCCCCTCACCGCGCGGAAGGTGGCCGGGAGGTCCACCGCCTGCCGGGTTATCCTTGATTACTTGGCTGGGGCCCCGGCCCTGGCATCATTAACCCGTGCCCCACTAGAGCTCCTGGATTTCTATCCCATGTGGGGGGGGGATGTTTGAACACCCCGTCCTTCTGACTCGGCTCCTGGGCGGGGGCCACGTAGTGATGCGGGATAGGCAGCATTCTAAAGAGCGTCAAAAATAATGACAAAATTACTTGGTCACTTTTTTGGTCAGGTCAAAGGTGACCAGGTCAAATTTGGCCATCACCAGAGGTCATTGAAGGCCAAATTTCGCCGATTATCAGGTCGAATGTCGACAATTTTCATCAAACGGCGCATAACTCGGAAACCAATAGAGCAGTTTTCAACAACGCCCCGGAAAAGTGCATTTGATAGACCCATTAACGCTCTTTCTGGTTATTACACTCAGATTTTGACCTAAGGTCAACAGTTTTGCTTGCAAGGGGCAAAAACTACCAAAATAGACGATTTTTTGCGGAAACAGTTTTTCTGCAATAACTTTTGACCCAAATCTTGCTCAAGTTTGCCCTTAGCTGCTTGTAGCTGCTTAGCTTAGCTGCTTTTAATTCTTTAGTTGAAATTGCAACATCAATTATGTTAGGTCATAGACGACAATAGCAGGGTCATAATTAGCTTTCTCACGTCTTTCCCCAATCCCCATCGCTGGCGTCCTCCACTGTGTTTCGACAACGTTATATATCGGTTAGCGTAGCATTAGGTTACCGAGATTAACGCCGTAAGACTCAGTCGAAAGAAAATCACTAAATGCATTCATTCTTCTCGATGCAATGTTGGCCTGTGTTGTAAAACGATATGTCAAATTAATGGAACATCATTTTCAGAAGAAAAGGAAATGTCGAAAATGGCAACACTTGTGGACAGCATTGTGAAGAAGACTCGAGTTCTAACTAGGATACCAACACTCCTAAAAGCATCAGTTGCTGGCACTAAGGGCGGCGGTGTTGCCGAAATCCAAACGACTTGGTCGCAAAGTGTGGTCGAGACTGCCGAGACGGTTCAGTTTGAGCGTACGTTTGTTGTGGAGCAGCCCTCCCTGCGGCTTATTGCGGCCACACCATCACAAAATGTCGGCCAAAATGTTGTCGTCTGCTACTCGCCGTCTCATCAGAAAAAGGCCGTGTTCCGAAAGAAGGAGGGCGAAAACAAAAAGGAGAAGTGGCTGCTGGAGATTTGGTCCCAAGGCAATATGAGCCAGGTGCTGGATCTGACCGCCATGGACAAACATGGCGCCGTGTACAGCAGCGGCGACTTCAGCTCCTTCCAGTGGAGTGACGACGAGCGGCTGCTGCTGTACATCGCCGAGAAGAGGCGGCCGCCGGCCGTCTCCTTCTTCGACGAGAACGCCCGCGAGGGCTCGGAGCGCGGCGCCGAGAGCCGCTACTACGCCGACTGGGGCGAGCAGCAGACGGGCCAGCACCGGCCGGTGGTGGTGGTGCTGGACGCGGCCGCCGGCCAGCTCACCGTGCTGGCGCCGCCGCAGGACGTGTCGCTCGGCCAGGCGCGCTGGCGCCGTCACGGCGACACAAACTCAGTGGTGGCCATCGCCTGGGAGAACCAGCCGCGCCGACTGGGCCTCATCTACTGCTCCAACCGGGCCTCGCACGTGCTGGAGCTGCCCGTGGAGGCGGACGCGGCTGGCGCCCGGCTGAGCGGCGAGGCGGCGGTGTCGTGCCGCAGCCCGCGCGTCTCCCCTGACGGCAGCGCCGTGCTGTGGCTGGAGTCGGCTGCCGGCGGGCCGCACCACGCCGGCGCGCGCCTCATGCGCCGCGACATGAACAGCGGCGCCGTGAGCGTGCTCATCGACCTGGTGGACGTCCCCGAGCCGGACGGCTTCAGCGGTCTGTACCTGCAGCAGCTGCCGACCCAGTGCTGGGTCTCCGACACGGCGGTCTGCTTCTCCACGCCGGTGGGCACCGGGCTGTGGTCGCTGACCGTGGACACGGCCTCCGGCGCGCGGACCCGTCTGGAGGCCGCCGGTGTGACCGTGCTGGCAGCCACGCCGCGGCTGGTGGTGGGTGCGCGCTCCGGACTGCTGCAGCCGCCTGAGCTGGTGGTCCTGCCGCCGGCCGGCGGTGAGCCGGTGGCACTGACGGAGGCGGCGCCCGCCAGCGCCGGCACCGTGCGGCCGCTGACGTTCAGCCGCGCAGAGCCGGCCGAGCTGGCGACGCTGCCCTACAGCGGCCTGCTGGTGCTGCCACCGGCCGGCGCCACCCCCGCGCCGCTGATCATGTTCCCGCACGGCGGCCCGCACGGAGTCATGACCGACGCCTGGTCGGCGCACGTGGCGCTCTTCAACCAGCTGGGCCTGGCCGTGCTGCTCATCAACTACCGCGGATCGACCGGTGCCGGCGAGCGCTCGCTGCACGCGCTGCCGGGCCGCGTCAGCACGCTGGACGTGGCCGACTGCGAGCACGCCGCTCGCCAGGTGCTCTCTGCCGAGCCGTCGCTGCTGGACGCTGGCCGGGTGGCGGCCTACGGCGGCTCGCACGGCGGGTTTCTGGTGACGCACCTGAGCGGCCAGCACCCGGACCTGGTCAAGGCCGTGGTGGCGCGCAACCCCGTGTGTGACATAGCCGGCATGCTGGAGGGCACAGACATCCCCGACTGGAACCACGTCGAGTCGGGCGAGGCGTACGATCCGCTGCTGACACCGACGCCGCAGCGGCTGGCCGCCATGCTCACCTGCTCACCAATCAGTCACGTGGACAGTGTGCGCGCGGCCACCCTGCTGATGGTGGGCACGGCCGACCGGCGCGTGCCGCCCTACCAGGTGTTCTACTACGGAGAGGCGCTGCGGCAGCGCGGCGTGCCGGCCGAGGTGCGCGTCTATGACGACTGCCACCCGCTGGCCAAGGCGGCCGTGAACGGGGACGTCATGGTGCACGCGGCCACCTGGATGTGCGAGAAGCTCGACCACAGCCCGCCGGCCTAGGCTCTCCACCGGAGTGTCTCCGTCGGCCGCCGGTGAGCCAACTACCGATCTTGCCACCTCATTTTGCTAATTCTTTAGAGGGATTTGGTGCTTATTTAGCTTGGGAAAACCAGCAACATTCAGCACCGGTGCTTATGTTTTTGTTGGTGAAATGTGCCAAAATAACTTGCTTAATGGTTATGCTTACGTGCACTGTTTACGGTCAGTCGTTTTTAAAGGAGTGCTTTTTAAACGCAGTTCACACATGACCGTCAGTCTGTCGGTGTCGGGCCCGTCACCGTCGACCTGACGGCCTGCAGCCCGTCAAACGAAAGTTGAGATTTGGTAGCTCCCATTGGCTGCCATATACTGTGACAGAAATGGCGCACCATTTTCGAGATTGACGCAGATGGGGGAAGGGGATGGGGGAGGGGTAGAGGCCGAGAGGTTAAAATATTATTTGAATTACAGAAATAAATTACCACGCATTTACATTTTTATGTCAAATAATGCTGCAACTTTATTTAAATGAAAGACACATCGGTTCGTTGATTTAAATCAGGGATCGAATCTCAAGATATCGTGCCGTAATAAATACTTTCATCTCAACAAATGGATGGAAAATGGTATAAATGATCCTAAAAATGCATATAAGCTTCATGCTGCATGATAACGTTCCTTTTCCTCTTCCTCCAACACGCAGACATTCAAACCGACGGGCCCGTCACCGTCAAAAGTTGAACATTGCTGAACTTTCCAAAGCGACGGCCGTCAGGTCCGGCGCCGGCGCAGTCAGCTGTTGCCGGCCGTCGAACGCCGCCGGTTCACACATGCCCGTCGACCTGACGGCCGTCGCTCCGTCAGTTTCGGCCGTTTTGACGGTGTCGGGCCCGTCACCGGCAGACCTTACGGGCAAGTGTGAACTGCGTTTTAGGGAGATGTTAACCAAGAAGAAAGTCACATTGTCACAAAGGACAAATACACTTGCACGCACTGTAAGTCTTAGTGCGTGGTTGAAATAGTTGTTTGAAAACCTCTCAGTCACATCAGTGCAGCAGCCCGTCTAATCTCGGGAAATTGCCAACCGATTTGGATAGAACAAAGGGCATTCGATTACTTCCATAATTCATACTCTAAAGAGACGGCATTTTAATCCTTTGACAAAAGCAAGATCGGAACGTAGTACGAAGGACAAAAGACGCTAACTAGGTGATGGAGATTCCCTTTCTTTTAACTTATGCTTATCAGCGTTATGATCGAGGCCATTCTCCCACTTTCGAAACCTTGAATCGTATTTCATAAAAGATGAAGTCTCGATGGTTATGTTTATTTATGTTTGCCTTGTTTTATTCTGAGTTGAAGACGAACCAACAAATTTTCGAACGATAAGTGAGCTTGTCGGCAGCTCTAAAGTCATTGATAGTGCCGATTCATTGTACTGACTCGAGTGCTTGATTCGTCGAGCTTGACTGTTGTCTCTTGAAGGGTTCAACGACACCGACTTCGTTATGACAGCCCTACGACCTGCCGACTCGTATACCGGTTTATTGGGTCGTCCGCTGTGATGAGAGGCTGGGCACACATGTGGACGAGAGTCCCACCGACCCTCAATGTACGGTAGGCGAGCCACTCGCCCCACTGTGTGCCCCTCCTTAGTCTGTCGACGTAATTCGAGCCGCTGTGTAGACCCACTGTAGCCGCTTGAACAGCCGGGTGCTCTTCCGTAGCCGCTTGAACTGTGGGGTGGTCCTTCGAAGGTGCTTGAACTTTGGGTGGGATGCTCCTTCGTAGCCGCTTGAACTGTTGGGTGCTCCTCCGTAGCCGCTTGAACTGTCGGGTTTTCCTCCACAGCCGCTTGAAATGTTGGGCGTTCCGTTCCTCCGTAGTCGCTTGAACGACACTAAGCTCCTCCGTAGCCATTTGCACGGTTTCGTACCCCTCTGTACCCCTCCTCGGTTTCGTATCTGTTTGAACAGTTTTATACTCCCCTTACCCGTTTCAACGGCTGTGTGCCCCTCTAGTCGTTTGAACATGAATAATTCCTTTGTAGCCGTTTGTACGGTTTCGTACCCCTCCGTAGCTGTTTGAACGGTTTGGTTCTCCTATCTAGCTGTTTGAACAGTTTTATACTCCCCTTACCCGTTTCAACGGCTGTGTGCTCCTCTAGTGAACATGAATAATTCCTTTGTAGCCGTTTGTACGGTTTCGTACCCCTCCGTAGCTGTTTGAACGGTTTGGTTCTCCTCTGTAGCTGTTTGTCTGGTTTTGTACTCCACGGACCCGTTTGAACGGCTGTGTGCTCCTCTGTAGTTGTTTGAACATGAATAACTCCTTTGTGGCCGTTTGTACGGTTTCGAACCCCTCCGTAGCTGTTTGAACGGTTTGGTTCTCCTCTGTAGCTGTTTGTCTGGTTTTGTACTCCCCGTAGTCCGTACCCGTTTGAACGGCTGTGTGCTCCTCTGTGGCGGCTTGAACAACAATAAACTCCTCTGCAGCCGTTTGAATGGTGTCGTACCCATCTGTTGCTGTTTGAACGGTTTTGTACACCTCCGTAGCCGTCTGATCCGGTTGGGTGCTGCTGCGTAACCGTTTGAGTCGCCCTGACACTGGCAGTAGGTCGTTATTGAATTGCGCCATGGAACCTATTTGCCCTATATTCGTAAGGGGAATAGTTAATTCCGTATTCAAATTTTCGGACGTCTGTCTCTCCGCCTTGGAGAGGAACCCATTACCCAAATAACAGTTGTTAGGCTTTCTTATGCAGCTGAAAATAGTGCTCACCGGTAGCGCTGATGGCCGCCGCTGCTTCTTAGATCGCCGGTCAACGGTCAACGGTTACCGGTCACTGATCTCCGTTCACTGGTCCGTTGTCACTGGTCAGTGGTCACTGCACTGTTCATCGGTTACCTGCCACTTGTCACTGGTCACTGCTTTCCGGTGACTGGTCAGCGGTCAAGGTGTCTATGGTCAGACCACAGACCAGAGCACGAGTCTGTAGTCATTGACCATCGGTCACTGGCCACCAGTCATGCTCACTGATCACTTGTCGCTATTCACTGACCACTGATCACCAATCACTGTCATTGATCGTGTCTCGCCGCGGTCACTGCCACTGATCGCTCTGTCCCCGGCCGGCGCGTCAGCCGGTAAGGCCGCGTCCTTCACCGGCAGCCTACTGACCCGCCTCCCCGAGCGGTGTGTCGCGCGCGAGCGTCGGGAAAAGAGAGAGGGAGAGGCAGCAGATCCGGGCGCAACGCCCTCGCCGCGCGACCCCGCCCACTGACTCGCCCGTCTCGCTGTACGTGGATCGCACGTGCTGTGCTCCAAGGAGACAATATGCCTGATTAGCCATTAAATCAGTCAGCAATTTATAAATAGTCAACACCATTAAATTCATAGCACACTGTTGTGAATGGCAATGAAGGGGAGTACTCTCATTGTCATGGACGTCTCCAGGCCTCAGGCCTGGCGGGGTCAATGGCACGGCACGGGGTAGAAGGCAGATACTATTTATCTTTTTTTTATTTTTGGACTCGCATCTTTACCAAAAGCACCAGTCCTTGAAATTCACTGCCGTTTATATTTTCTGTCCAAGGTAATAAAATTATCGACTGGTTGGAGCAACTAATCCGGATAGCTGATAAATTGTCGCTAGAATGAAGACTGATAGGCGACATCAGTGCAGCTGAGTCTGAATTGAGCGCACATGGTCGCGCTGGCGGGCCGTTTTCTCGGGCTAGCTGCTCCGCCGGGTGGGCTCTGGCCGCGCGCCGCCAGGTGCAGCCAGACACCCGGACCGTTCGCGCGCTCACATCCGGCTCGGCCGCGAGATGTGCGCCCGATACCAGACGGCGGCCGCCGCCGGAGCGCGGGCCGTGGCCGTTTTCTCCCGGCCGCCGCCGGTCCGACAGACTTTCTTGGCGCGCGGACGGTCACGTGACCGGGCGGCGGCCGGCGTCCATCGGTCACGTGTCGCCGCCGCCGTCGAGCGGAGAGAGTGCCACAGTTCCGGCTTTCCACTGCGGCGGATCCGGGATCCGGCCACGCTGCCGTCGCTCGTACCTGCCGCCCGCGCTCAGGTGTGTGTGCCGCTACTGGTGCCTCGGGCGGCGTCAGAACCGTCTGACCGTCTGCTGCAGCGCTCTGCAGGCCAGACCAGTGCTTACGCGTGCCGTAGTGCTTATCTATCGGTCACTTCGCCGTGCTGAGGTGCGTCGAATGAATTATTTTTCGTTTGGGCGAGGTCAGTTTGGGGTGTTGACCTAAGGTCAAGGCCAGGTCAAAGCCACTCAGGGCACGAAGTTTGTCAAAGGAGGTAATGCTACATATTCGATTCGGCAGGTCTTCCTGTGTCCATTGGTTACTTTCCGGACTCGCTAGCTCAATTTGATCGGGAGTTATTGAACACAAAGTACAAACTCCGATGACCTTAACCACGTCATGAGGTCACGCAAGGTCTTAGGTCAACGGTGCAAAATTTATGCATCGGACCTCGCAAGGAGTGTATTAACTCACGATCTCATGTAGGTACTCGAGCTAGTCTTAGATCACAGCGCCAAAATAACATTTTCTATATTGTCCAAGTAGGTAAGTTCCATCTCCGTGCAAAAGATTCCCTGGTGATTGAGAGCGTTGTGAAATTGTGACATTGATTAAGCCCTTGTAAAGGCTCAACAATGACGTCTACTGAGGTCAGGCCGCAAGGTCTGTGACCTGACTTGACCTAATCTGACCTGAAAATCTGGTTGGTGTCAAGTTCTCGTTTCTAACAAGGGTCTGCAAGCTTTCAGCTCTGCATCAGCAAAGCGTTTAGAGAAATCGCGGGGAAAAAGGCAGGGGTGGCACCCCCCCCCCCTCCCCTCGGCCGGATAGAAGCAAAACTCTCGCCAAAGCTCATAAAAAATATCTTACAGGAGTTAGTTTGGTATCATATGATTTGTCCGTTATCATGCTCATCGGCATCGAGTGATAGGTAGGCATACCTTTCTACCGATTGTTAGGAAAAGGTCGTTCTGAGTTTGGAGCTCAGATGAAGGTCGGTTCAAATCCGGTCAGTTCAGCGACTTCCTCTCCATCGTCCGGGGAAGGCTCGTTGTCGACTGCGTGATCAGTGACGGGCCGCGGGTCACGGGTTCACGCGGTGCCGCAGACGGACGCCGGGCGAACGAGATGGTGCTCAGCTCTGGAGACACGTTGTGACGGTCTTTCATGCCTACGGACATTCGGACATCTACACAGTGAGTTTGATGCGCGGAGTTACAAATCTAGCATTTCGAGGGAAGTGGGAAGCCGTTTCTGACCATAGCGGACACTTGACAGTGACGCCTGACGGGATCGTCTCGGAACAACTACAGACTGCGTAACGGAGGCTGGAACAGACTGTCATTACAATATTGCCACTAGATGGCACCAGTAGTAAACGCCTGAAGCTAGACTGTACCGCATGACACAAAAATTGTTCGGAACAGCCAAGAATAACTACACGGTGCATGGGCTTGAAACGTATTTTGACCAATATTCTAGTTCTTTTAGTTTGTTCGGCGTATTTTCTTTCAGTTATCCGATTTTTAACCCGCGACCTGGTGGGGGGGGGCTATTTTTTGCCCCCCCTCCAGACTTTTCGATATATCTCCAGAACCGCTGCGCCGATCGTCACCAAACTTTCAGTACCCTCCCGGACATCAATTTTACACATTGTGACCAAAAATTTTTTCCAAAAGCTATGATAGGTTGTCCGGAAATGACGTCAGAGTGACGTCATGTTCTGCCGTTTTCGACCCAAAAAAGGGTTTCGCGGGAAGAGCTGTCAGGCCTATAGCTTTGCAAATACAGAAAAATGTTTAGGACATAAAAGCTGTAGAATTGACAGGGCTACACAACTGCTATCTCGAATTTTTGAATTATTTTGATTTTGACCCCCAAAAATCAAAAAATAGATTTTTGGGATATAATAGTCAAAAAATCCAAAAAGTTTTTTGAATTTCGCAAAAACCGGAATATATGTGATAGTCCTTACCGCCTTCCATCCACATACCAAATTTTAGATTGATACCTCTTTTTTTGGCGAAGTTATAGCGAAAAAACTGTTCAAAATTGATGACGTCAAATTTTCAAACTCAATTTTTAGCAATTCTAGACCTCGTAGTGCAAAACAAAGACCACCATTAGACTCCCCGTGACGAGCTGCATCGAATCGATACCCATTTTATGCAAAAATATCAACTTTGAAATTTGACCTTTTTTGACCTGACCTTGACCTGACCTCCACCAGAAAGTGACCTAAACCGTACCTGATGGTCTTATAACCAACACCATTTGGTTGGAAATGAAAAACTGGCCATAAAACATGCATCGCACAACCTTAGTAAAGTTGGGTTCATGTGGTGACCCTTGGTGACCTTTGGTGACCTGACCTGTGACCTGACCTGGTATGACCAGTGACCTCTAATAGCAACATATGTACTAGACAACTGACGTCTTATCGCTGATTTTCGACAAAATGCGTTTTACTCGGTGTTATAGCGCTTTCCCTAGAAGCCCCGTGAACGGTGAAACATTTTATCTTTGACCTGACCTGTGACGTCATCGGTGACCCCGAGGTCAATAAAATTTGGTTTCCCTTTACAAATTTGACAGGGCTATCGAACGCCGTTTGAATTTTGCGGATCCGTCCAGTAGTTTCGGAGATACGAGGGGGGCAAAAAATAGCCCCCCCCCCCCACCAGGTCGCGTTATAAACAGACCCCACCAGGGCGCGGGTTTATATATTCCCGACCGGGGCTGGGAAAATGCGTTTTATTCACCGAGGTTTTTGTGCGGAGGACCGAGTGCCGGTAGGCACGAGGTCTGTAGCAAAAAACCGAGGTGAATAAAACTGCATTTTCACAGCCCAAGGTTGGGAAGAGATTTACCACATGCCGTACCGGCGTAACAGTTTATATTATATTTGTATTTTTTATTGTGGGGCTGCCCGGCTGCGTTAAGAATGAAAGATGAAATTCCATACTTTTCCCTTATTTTTGGTTTTGAAAAAAGCTGAGGATGAAGATGGTGAAGCGCCAGAAGTTAAAACAAAGAAGTATATGAAGTCCAGCAGGAGTGAGGAAACCGTGAGGAAAACTGAAAATTGAGTGAAACGCTGAATCAAACGCGTCTTGAATGCTAGCTGGATCAATAAGTCAGAACAAAGAAGTATATGGAGTCCAGTGCAGAAGTGAGGAAACCATGAGGAAAACTGAATATTGGGTGAAACGCTGAATCAAACGCGTCTTGGATCCCAGCTGGAACAATATCAAATGTTTCATTGTGGCACGTAGGTACGTTAAGATGCCTCTCGCATTTGAATTGTTCGTTTTTTGCGTGCATTATGTAGTGATAATGACTATTCTGACCATGTTCTGCAGCAATAAATACATTGGCATTGGAACAATACCCTTGTTTACAGTTGAAGTACGTTGACAGCAAAAGTAAGTAAACTCGCAGTCACTTACTTTCGCTGTTGCTGTTAGTGAACACACAATCCGTAAATATCTTCTTTGAAATTGGTTCTTCCGCTCAGAATATTCAGTAAAACTTTGTCTGGGAAAATCAAAAAGCCCTAGGGCCGAATCGTTTCCCAAATACCTTCAACATTAGCCGAGGCGGGCCGAAGTCATTTCCCAAATGCACGTGCTAATGTTAAAGGGATATCTCGGCATGTGGTAAAACACGGTGAAATTACATCGCATCAAGTTGGAGCTAAGCTCGTAAGCAGGTAAGCTTGTAGGTAGCTTTGTCTGCTCGACCATCTCTGTTCCGTAATCCCCGTGTTCTTGTTAGTTGTTGCCAAGGTTCAGGTTGGGATTTCTCGTTTTATTTACTATGGACAGTGTAGTTAATAAAGAGATCCCTACACCGAATTACGTTATCGAGCAGAATCACTTTTAACAGGCATATCCTTAGAAAGGGAAGTTTTATGTTGCCTACGTCTAGAAGATGCTTGATTAACCAGTAAGTCACTTTTCCTGCACCTGACCGCCGAGTGGGGACGTAAAGAGAAAATATTATGGACCTATTGTCACATTATTTATTGTTTGGTCTAGAGTACATTACAAACTTAACGTACAATTGGGACAAAACTCTGCGCTACACACGTCCAAAATAACCAATCACATGCGTGTCACACACCCGACCAGTGTTGGCTGGCCTCCCCAGTCCCCGGTGATGTTAGATCGCGCCGGTCTAGCGGCCCCTCAGGCCTGGGCGGCCTCCTCCAGTAGCGGCCGCAGCTGCAAGTCGAGTCGCTCCGGCGCCGGGTGGCACCAGGAGGTCAGGCGCGTCACGAAGGGCCGCGTGTGGCCGCGCGGCCGCGCCGACGCCAGGTCGGCCACCAGCGCCGCCACGTTAGCGGCCACATGTTCGGCGGGCATGTGCAGGCGGCCGACGGGCGCCACCACCTGGGCAAAGTCGAGCTGGCGCTCGTCGCGCTCGGAGCTGAGCTCCAGGCCGTGCCGGAACCGGTCGATGGTGGCCCCCAGCTCGGTGGTCAGCGTGCCGTCCTTGATGGAAGGGAAGCGGCGCCGCAGCAGGCCGCGGATAGGCAGCAGCTCCTGCGCCAGCTCCGGGTGGCCCACGAAGTAGTCGAACTGGTCGGCGGCCATGGCCCCGCTCTGGAACTGTTTGATGAGCTCGGTGCCGCCGACCACGGCCACGCCGCGACTCTCGGCCAGCTGGCGCAGCTCTGCCGACTGACAGAAGACGGCCACCTCGCGCGGCGGCCGGTACTCGAACGGGTGCGGCAGCGACACCACGCGCCGCACCGGGTCCGCGTAGCGCGTCTTTTTGTCCAGCTGCATGTCCAGCTCGGCGGTGACGAACATGAGCGCCTCCGGCTGGTTGAACACGGTCGGGTGGTGCGTCTGCCGGTGCATGGCCACCGCCTCCTCCACGGCGTGCTCTCGCCAGCGGAACCAGTTGCGCACGTACACGTCATCGATGGGCTCCGGCAGCCGCTCCCGGTCAAACCTGGCGGCGCACCACATCGCGTCACACACACCTACTCATTACAAACAGGGCACGCTGTATGCTAACTCAGGAAAATATCCAACTATTTGAGCAGCGCCCACAAGAACGCACGCCTGGCACACACATTTTGGCAGCCACATGCGATCTTAGGGAAAGTCCACCAATGTTCACGGCAATGGACGATTTTCCGTCCCTTCCCCACATTTTGTAACGGAATACAGGCAGATGCGTGACCTACCTGCGGTTGGCACGGGGCTGCAGGCTCAGCAGCTGCGCTCGGCGCACACTCTGTGGCACCCACTCAGTCTTCACCTCCTCCTTTTTGACAATCTTGGCCTTTTTTCGCTCACGGGTGCCCTTCCTGGCAGCAGCCAGAGGCGCTGACGTAGAGAGGGGGCGACGCGCCAGAGTCCGCAGTGATGCTGGGAGGAGCATGGTGAAGTCCTGAGAACAATGGAGGCGTGACACTCACTGTGCATGACAACATGTATCACACATTTACTGGCAACTGCAATACATTGTACATTATTTCCTTTTTACAATATCACTTAACCTACTTGATTTGGCTAGTATTTAAATGCACCTTACCTACCTAATAGGTTAGGTACAAAGAATGGCTCGCAAGTCCAATACAGCCATTGGTATGGTCTTTCATTTTTATATCGTCTTCAGGCTAAAATGCTAAACAAAATTAACACCCAAATGACTTAGAATAGGAGAGTGTTCCCTGCTCCAGTCAGAGTGCAAGGTGCAAAGTATAGTATTTAGGCTCCTGTTTGAAACATACTCTGTCAGTTGCATATTTCAGCAGTCACTACTGGTGATGTGAAGGTTGGAAAAGATAAAGTAAGATTTAGCATGGAATTATCAATTATACAAGCCCACTGCCCATATTGGCCTTTAGTAAACAGCCCTGAAAGCTTGACTAAAGTTCAATTTAAAAGGACACCATGCATGTTGTCTGTGACAATAATTTTGCAGTGCTTCTCTCAAAGATGATGTATTCATGTCAGGGGCAGAGAATAGTCATAATCCCAGCGGGTGCTTTTCTAGCACCTGGCAAATGGAATCGCCGAATTCTTGTGTAGAAAAGCACATATATGTAGGTACATTTTCCCAGCAGCATCACTCTCCTCGCGACTTACGCAAAGCAGTTTGTGTCGTGGACATAATTTAAGCACCCCTGGAGCACTATATGGTGACTTTTGAATTTCAGGGGGTGCTCGAATACCCCAAAACCCCTAATTCTCCACCCTTGATTCATGTACTAAGTATGTCAGTAAGTATGTCAGGTCAGGTGGATTGGGAATGGGATCCTAAGAAAAAGCCCATTTTCAAGCAACCATGACAATCCAATAACTTTAATGATTGCTAGGCCATTTCTTCAGCTCAGAGTTAGGTGATTAACAATTAACAACCTTTGCAGTTTTGACCATTTCAATTAAAAAAAAACTGAGGAAATTCACAAAACAATCACATGAAAAGAAAGAACATATCCTTCTCAGGTTGAAAAGTGACGGTGAGACCAGTGACCACCTAACAGACTTTAATCATCTTGTCTAGGATTCTGGCACTTAAAACTCGCACAAGTTTTCTTTTTTCAGTGTTTTACCAAATGCAGGCCCACCATTCCAATTTGAATTCCTTGCCTGAGGTCCCGTGACAGTGAGGGTTTTTTTCAATTTCAATTTTGACCCTTGGGTGCAAAAAGGGCGATTTCAATTTCACCCAGGGTCTACAGCAGAGCAGAATTGATTTATTTTTAACGATACATTAATTTACAAATTGATTATTGATAGTGAACATTACAACAATTACCTACGGTACCAAAGGCAACAATTTATTCATAAAAAACACCTCATCTTTGCCTTACCTAGCTCAATGCCGTATATACCTAGCCCTCCAGAAGTGCTTGCGCCATAAACGTAACAAATAATCAAGGTTGGTTAATATGCGAAAGGTGTCATGATAAATATGATGTTAGAAGTGACGTTTTAATAACTAGAATATTTATTTTAAGAAAATTGTTTCATAAAACTACTTTTTGCTCGGTGATTTAGCAAATAAGTTTCAGAAACAGACTGATAAGTTTTATATTTTTAACTTTAAAATTTTATTTTTGCTGAATTACGTACAGATTACGTCACATTATTGGCTGAAGACCAAGGCGAAGACAGCAGTCATGTGGACTTCTGTTGACAAAAACGACGCAGTTAATTTTGTGTGGGCATGTGGTGGGGGTGACCGCAAGGCGATTAAGGGCATTGAGTAAAACGATATTTTTGAGCAATACTGGTAGTTATTTCATCATAGATTATTCACAATGAAATTATCTTACTAATGATGTGCGAATGTAACAGATATCATGGCTTAAAGGGACCCTCCCACCTTCAAAAAAGTTAATGAATTGGCATAAAAGTGATGTAGCGTGAATCACAAAGAGCGAAAATGAACATCTACCAAATTTTACCGGAAAATATTCACCCGTTTTCGAGATATAAGACTTTTATTTTTGTTTACTTTTTGGGAACTCCGCTGTTTCTATGACGTCACATAAAGGTTTTCTTTACGTCGGCATTTGGAAGCAATAGTTTGGTATCAAAGTGCGACAAATATTGCGCGAATGATGCGTTTATCTTATCAAGGTCAATATATGATGGCCAATAAAGGATTCCAGGACTATTCTTCTTATGGCATTTCTTCGTATCGCAATTCTTCGTCTGCAAATCTTCGTCAGGGCATTTATTCGTATCGCATTACTTTGTCTCGCATCAGGGTATATGGAAATCGGCTCGCATTTCTTCTTCAACGCAAATATATGCAAGAGTAAGCATTGAGGGACAAATAAATGCACCGACGAAGATTTGTAGACGAAGAAATGCGGACGAAAAATTGTGCTACGAAGAAATGTCATGCGAGGATTCGTTCGGGTACCATGACATTTATGTGATTTCAAAGTCAAGGTTCACAGCTGATCTGCTAAATCAAGCCAAGAATCCAAACTATCAAAAAACTATAAATATTTGTTTGTCACAGAGGTCTCAAGCAATATAAGGTTGACATATGTTGAATCAAAAATCTACTGCCACAACTCACCTCTCCTGCCTTAGTTTATCATTGTTGTTTTAACTTGCTTTCAAGAGAAACAGAAGCCAGTATCTGATATCACTTTAGATGATTGCTTCAAGATCTGAGTTCAAATGGAAATAAAAGCAAGATCAAGATGAAACAGGGATTATTGCTGTTAAAGTAGTTTGGCCATGATACAACAAGCACATAAATCATTAGCCAAATCAAATACTGGTTGGTTTGTCAAGATGTTTGTTGTCTGTCGTCTGTCGAGCTGCTATTAACACTGAACGCTCTCACTCTTACTTTAAAGAGAGTAGTTTAAGTTGAATGGTAGTGAGCTGTAATTAGACAAAGCAGCTTTTCAGTGCTCACATCAAGCCAGGCTAGGAAATGGCATCAACTGTGGTGGGAGGAAGCAGGGTTCTGCAGCCCTATGTTGTAAACTTCTGTTGTGTCTTGTGTTTGATCAACTGATGTTTTCTGCTCTGTTTTGTGCAGTGATAGTAGCAGGTAACTGCATGCTTGTCAAATTATGTGAATAAACGAATTCATAACATTGCATTTTTCTCTCCATGCAAGGAACAAGTAAGATGTTGTAGAAAATGTAATAGAGGGCTGCATTGCTGATTTTTCACTTTATCATAGCTTTATTTAGAATTGCTTTCCTGAAAGCTACACACAGGCCACAGCACTGAAATTCACAATGTCATAGCTTTTGGCAGAAAAAAGAAAAGACTTACGACTTACCTAGGTAAAATTGGCTGAAAGTATGGCAGAGCAGGTCTTGATGCGTATGCCCATCCGTGTGCTTGCCGAAGCCGAACTGACTGCAACACATTAACTCTGACCCACCATGGTGGCTGGCATATCCTGAACTTTCACCACTCTAAACAAGACAATTTTCAGCCCTCAGCATTGTATTAAAACACTGTACATGACACTCAAAATTTGTTTCAGTGCCATCGACGGACAACATCAGTCGCCATTCACCAGGCCAGTAAAAACAGAATAGATAATAGCTGCAAACCCATGTAGTCAGAGTTACTAGGTCTGCACCTCAAAACAAAATCCAGGTGACATTCACCACGCCAGTAAAAAACAGGAACTTAGGTAACGTAACAGCTTCAAATCTGGTAACATGTTGGTCGGACGTTACACTACCATACTTACATGGAATAATATGATGCCAAACAATAGTGCAACCATTCTGGACAACAACAGTGTATGATAAAATTAATTTAGAATACTTTGGCAGCATGATTTACGAGCACAGGCAGGTGTTACCTACCAGCCTTCTCAATGCTCGTAAAACCAACATTGTAGTTTTGATTTTACCTTAAATGATAACACACTTGGCTGCAATGGTACATTTAATATAATACTGTGAAAAGACCAGTTATAACCACTTCACAAGCACAATTGCACCTCATGCCGACATCCTTTTCCAAAGACAGTCAGCAGCGTCTTTCGTCAAAACTGGAAGATCAATCCCCTTTCAACTGTTAACATCAAAAACATTTCTTCATGGTGTGATCTGCATATGGAAACCTTGCAGGAAAAGAATTAATGTCAATTGTCAGCTCTTCAAATTTCTTTGGACTTTAACTAGCAGTACCATAACCAGTTTGCTTTGATATTTTGTTTTTTATTCTATGTTGAAGTTGAACACCAAGCTCCAGATATAGCAGGCAGCTTGATCATCTTCGGCCTTGGTATAATATCAGTCCAAGTTCCAGTGGTGGGTATCTTCTAATATTCAAATTAAAATGAAAAGCAATAGGCTTTCTCAGCGCCGACGACGGATTTCACGTTGATAAAAAAGGGAGCTCAAGGTCAGCAAAACTCGGGTTCATGGAATGGCGGGCGTTGAAATGACTGCTGACGTCATCCAAAAAACCGCTAAGGGTTAAGAGATAGGGACTAAGCTGGTCCCACCCTGCAAGTAAAGGGAAGAAATTTCTTGAACACCATAATGCTGCGGGGGTTGCGACCAGAATAAATGGTGGTTTCTGAGCCTGGCCGCAAACTTGGCTATCTCAACTCAAAACTAATGTTAAGGTGGGATGGTCCCTTTAACCCATGAACCATCGCAGGACCTATTGCTTTTCTACATACGCGCAGGCCGAGGGGGGGAGCGTGTACCCCCCCTCGCCGTTTCGCGCCTGGCGTAGCTAGCGCGTTGCGGAAAAAACGAGAGTGTGCGCCGTTACGAGATGCAGAGATTGATGCCCGATTTTAAGGTCCTAGGTTGAGGTCAACCGGTGATCTGAGAGGTCAGGTCAAGTGCTCCAAGGTACGGTTCTGTTTTTGGTAAATAACCACAAAAAACGGCTGCAGAACCGCGATTTTGGCAGCATCGTGTTCACCTCGCTCAGGCGCATCGAATGATATACTTTTTATTTGGTTGAGGTCAACTTAGGGTGTTTACCTTGGGTCACAACTCACAGGTCAGTGCTCCCAGGTCACGAAATTGGTCGAAGTAGGTCATGTCGCATATCATTCGCTTTGGCAGGTCTTCCTGAGTCCATTGGGGGCTTTCCTGACTTGCTAGCTCAATTTGGTTGGGAGTTATTGGCAAAAACCTAATATGACCCTAGTCCCTAATGACATCATAAATGATGTCACGCGAGGTCAACATTGCAAAAGTGACGCATGTAACCTTGCAAGGAGTGCATCAAAGCATGACTCTGTGCTTGAGCTAGTTGGAGATCGTTCCCAATCCCGGTGCCAGAATAGCAGTTTTCATTTTCCCCATTGACTTATAATGGTGAGGTCACAAAAATGACCTGAGCTCATATGACCTTTAGGAAAAATCCAAGATATACAAGTTGTTAGACTCGTAATGGATACTTGATCTTGCAAGTTTCATTTCCCTGTGAAGTCCTCTGGCAGTTAGGACGTTGCGAAGTTGCGACATCTGATGGCCGTGCAGAGGTTCACTTATGACGTCATAGGTCAGTGACCTGACCTGACGCGAAAATGTGGTTGGTGTCAAAAGATCTGGCTTGAATCAAAGGTCAGGTATGCCAAGTTTCAGCTCTATCGCCAGCGTATTCAGAGCTATCGCGAAAAAAACCTATGGGGGGGGGGCGGCAGCCGCCCGCCCCCTCGGCCGGCGAGGGTTAACACGCTCCCCGCTGGGCTATTCATAGGGTGTGTCACTAGAAACAGATCAAGCGCTTCCGCTGATTTTCCTTGTCCCCGTGTCTATGGAAGCTTATTGGTGCAGTTCTTTTTTCCATGCATCGAAAATTCGATCGGCGCCGGCTGAAAGAAGTTCGGAATTTATCGTGGCGCCCGGCGTTGCAGTCTCCATGTTTGGCGTAATGCGTTTGATGACACTAACACCAGCCGCGCGCGTCTTCGCCTGTTAGCATCGACAGACGCTGTCAATACGGATGTAATGCAAACGAGGCAGTATCCTCTATTTAGACAACGGTTACACAGAAAAGATGCATCTTTGCCATTCAATATCAAACTGAATTTAACTGAATTAGCATTTGCCTACCTTGCATGGTTCAGGGGACCGATTTTCTTGCAGGCCTCCTTTGCGGAGATGTTGCCCGTCCGCACGGCTCTGGTGAGCTGATACGGCAGGAGTTGGTCGCTGCTGAGGTCGGTGATGATGTTGTCCGGCAGATCCAGCTCTGGGCCGCTCACCGGTCGGAACTTCACGGGAGAAAGACGGTGCACGGAGCAGCCGGCTGCCTTGCCCAACGGCCCCATGACCTTGTACCGGTTTTTCTGACCTGGTGACCTGACCCAAGGTCACCCGGACCTAAAATTTTCAGGTCATATGTAAATTGGTTGCCCCATAGGCTGTGCCAAATTTGCGCCGCCGTTTTTACGCTATTTTCGAAAAACCTTAGGGGGGGTCGCATCGACCCCCGCCAGGGCGAGGGTTAAATTCTTATCCCAGACAGAGTGAGTAGGTACGTAGTTGGAGTCAGTAAACAGTGGATGGATTGGATACTGAAAGTGCCACCAGATGGTAGGGAATTTGAAGTAAGATGCATTGAAGTATGGCCATTGGTGTATGCAAGGCCCTAAATACAGGTGTATGAAAGTTTGACCGGTTATAAAATTGCCATTTGCAGGCGGCGAGTTTTAGTGGTGTCGTGCCACTGCCTCCCTGGTGAGTGACATGGCCGGCCAACCTGCCCGACTGGGCCTCCAGCTCCCGGAGGTCATCTCGCGACTGGAACTTTTCGCGCCCAGCCGACTCGCCGAAAAGTGGGACAATGTCGGACTACTCGTCGAACCATCGCCACCGAAACTTGTTCAGGTAATCTGAATTTTGACACTTCACAAATATTCTTTTATATAATGTTTAATAGAAGTTCAGGAGCCAGTTTTACCAACAGCAAAATAGCCGCCTGCCGGATTTTTTTCTAAAGACCGCTTCACATACGGAGCGTAAACGCGATGGGCGTGTAAGAGGATAGGGCTTTATTGTTAACGCTTTTATGTGAAGCGGTCTTAAGACAAAAAATTCCGGCAGGCGGCTATTTTTCTGTTGGTAAAATGGGCCTCAGCAAGGCCATCTATAGAAGGTACAGTCACTCCCCCGCCGACCAATCAGAGACAGATCCTGAGTGACGTCATCCCTGATGCTCGCAAGGGGTACTCCATTGCTTTGCAACGTAAAAATGACTAACTTCATTTGAAGATTATTGATGGCACTCTGCACATACCGCTCAGCCGTTGATGTCAATGGAAAGCCCAACTAATTTTCCAGCGACAAAAAAGAGCAGCAATATGCTAAGAAATGGCCGGTTTTGAAGATATACACGATTTAAAAACCCTCTGCAGCAGCAGGAAAGCAACGTAAAAACGCATCGAGCTTATATTTTTACTATGGATAAATCATTTTTCAGTAAGTTTTTAGATTTGGTATAGATTTAAGTTACAACTTCATTACAATATTTTCATTACTTGAAACTTTATTTCAAAATAATATTTTCAAAAATGGCAGCTGTTGGCCAGTAGCTTGGGAGCGATTGTGGCGCACCGCGCCATTAATTGTCCTGAGGCCCCCTTATGATGTCATCAAAAGTGGAGTGACATGGGCCTGGGCCTCAGTATAATCTTTGACAAAAAAAAGGTAATTGTTCTTCCCTGATAGGCATATTGTTAATTCTTTGTAGTTAATGCTTTTATTGATTTGCTTTATCAAGTTAATGTTTAGTCATATGCTTACAAAAGTAATTTATTCGACCTCAACTTTAATCAAGTGATTAATCAAGTGATGGTTTTCTCTAATAGAAAAAAAGTAAATTTATGTTAGATAAAAATTACACAATAAGTTACAATTGGATAATAAGCCGTAGAAAGCCATAGGAAAAACACAAGACAGAGAGTGCTAGGTTTACACAGCTGTTTCAAATGCTGTGACTGTCAGACGGGATGTATCGCTGCTATGCGATGGAACGTGTAGCAGCTCCGATCTCTGATGGTCGATCTCTCTATCTGCCGTGCCCCAGAGGATGCTGCTGACCAACGACCTGACCGAGGACGTGATGGCCGAGGCGGTGCAGCGGAAGGTCGACCTGATCCTCAGCTATCACCCGCCCATCTTCCGACCTCTGAAGCGGCTGGCCTTCTCCAAATCGTGGAAGGTAGGCTGATGTCGGTTTGGGCCAGCGCGGCTGTGGGGTTTGCAGGTGGCGTGGCGGTCAATAATGTCAGCCTGGTACTCTGCCATGCAAAGGCAAAAACGATTACGTCAGGTCAGAGGTCATTCGTCAGGCCAGAGGTCACCCGAACGTCATCGTTTTTGCATTTGCACGGCAGTACCTAATGTTAAGGTTGTACTGTTTGTTTATCTGTCCTGTTATATGATGTACTGCTCGTTTCATCCGTGACCTGTCTGTCGTGCCGTTTGTTTCTTTCGTCATATGTCTGCCGTGCCGTTTGTTTCATCCGTCACCTGTGCCGTTTGTTTTGTCCCCAGGAGCGTATTGCCATTACCTGTGTGGAAAACCGTATCGCCGTGTACTCGCCCCACACCTGTTACGACGCTCTGGACGGCGGCGTCAACGACTGGCTCTGCGAGGCGTTCGGTGCGTCTTGGCTCACTGATACCGACCTTACTATAGCCATATGTGTGCGCAAAATACCCACGAAGGCGTTTTAGCTTACGATCTACAGTACAGTATCCAGCCGTCTTTCTTCGTCAGAAATTTGCCTCCCTATTTCTCTCGTCACTTTCATCTCCATGTTCCCGTCTTCCCCGTCCCGTCAGCCTGCCTCTGACCTCCCCCCGCCTGTCTGTCCAGGACCGGCCCGGGTGACGCCCCTGACGCCCAGTCTGGCGCCGGAGCCGAGCGTTCAGCTGGCGGTGGCGCTGCCGGCCGGTCCGCAGCGCCAGCTCGACTGGGTGGACGACCTGCACGAGCTGTGCCGACAGCTGCCCGGCGCCTCAGTAGAGGCTAGGTCAGTACCGGCTGCGAGGGTGGCCGTTATAAGACGGTGACGATGAGCTCAGTACTATCAGCGGGTGCCATTGTCAGCCAACTACCTCATGCGTTGTGTAAAGATCTTAGGAATATACCGTATAAGGCACGTAATGACACCGGGTTGCGCTCTTTTTCGTTCATTCGGTACATGATCGTTAGTGACAGGTCTCTCAATGCTAGATGAAATGAGTTTTCAAACGGGATACTGATGTGGCGCAACTAGAATTTAGTATTGTTTTAGATAGTTGTTTGTTACCGTATAAGCTGTGGCTGTATACGCTGTGATTTTGCTGCGCTGTGGTCGTGTACGCACGCTCTGACCGTATTACGCTCTGGCCGCGTACGCTCTGACCGTATTACGCTCTGACCGTGTACGCTCTGACCGTATTACGCTGTGACCGTATACACTATGACCGTAGACCCTGTGACCGATCACGCTGTGTCCGTGCGCCAGGTACCAGGACGTGGTGCTGGACGTGCGCACGCTGGGCAGTCCGCTGACGAGCGGCCCCCAGCCTCGGCTCCAGCTGGTCGTCAGCACTCCCCGCCGGCACCTGGCGACCCTGACAGCGTTCCTCGGCTCCGCGGGACTCACCTCGGCCGCCACTCGACTCACGACGGCCGAACAGGTGGGCACAGACTGGGGACCACAATGGCGGCGCAGCTGACTGTGAGGTACACCTGTCGTCATCATTCCACAATTAGATCCGCACCGCCGTCAGTGAGGAACACATGTGGACTACCAACATTTGCATTCGTTACTTTTATTATTTTCTTCCCATTTCCTTTCTAAGTATTACGCAGAACTTTTTAATCGTACTAATGTGATGCTTTGGTAATGTGATGTTTGTGCTATGCCTAGTTAGTGTGTCGGTTTGTTGGTGCTGTGCTCAGTTGATGCGTTAGTGCTATGTCGAATGCCGCGCTGTCTGCCGTGCTATGTCGGCGGCTGAGCCACTGATCGGTCATCCGCGCGCCTTCCCAGCTGCCGGAGCCCAGCCGCGGCACCGGGCGGCTGGCCGAGCTGGAGAACAAGCTCTCCCTCAGCGAGGCCGTGCAGGCCATCAAGAAGCACCTGAAGCTGCAGCATGTCCGTCTGGCAGAGGCCGTCGGCAAGCCCAAAGGTCAGTCACTGACGGAGAGTTGTCAGTCACCTGTGTAGAAGTCCGTGTCAGCCGCTCCCTCCCCAGGCTGACAGGCAGTCGCCACTCCCCTCCACCGCTGACAGACAGCTGTCAGCCCCCTCCCGCCCACCCACTCCCCTCCCTCACGGGCAGACAGACGTCAGTCAGTCTCGTCCCCTCACCGACAGTCGTCCCTCCCCTCTCTACACTGACAGACAGTCGTCAGTGGCTGATTGTCAATCACCCCCTCCCCCTCACGGTGACCGCTCATCCGGCACGGCGGACATGGTTCTGACCTGAGCGTGCATACTGTATAACATACTTGACTTGGGTTTGCTCATAGACCACCTCATTCCTAGATATGTTGTAATGAAAGGTCTGTGCTTTCTTTCATTGCGTCATGCTTGTGGGAACTTGCAGTGGGGAACGGCAACTTCTGACACATAACTTTTACCGTAAAATGAACTAGGGGAGACCCGGGAGGTATGGGCCCCCTGGAGGTATGGGCCATCGCAGTTTTGAAGAAGTGTTGCGTATTTTTACACATTTGACCGCGCAAAATGGTAGCAGCCATTCCGTTATACAACCCGCGTTATTTCCAAAATTTTCCTCAGTCTTCTTTGGCAATGAGCGGTGATAAAGCGTTTTTGCCCTCTTCGAGTAAAATACGGTACATACAGAAAACTCGTGATAAATTTGAACCAGGCTCGTTTTATGATGTCAGGCCATCGGTAATATAAAGTTTAAAGCATGCAAATTAAGACTGGATAGATTTTTTGAAGCTTTCTTGCAAGTTTATGGGCTGAGATGCTACGCACATTCTGGCGTCCTAACCGGGATGTTCGGGCCACCCACCCCCGTTGATCCTAAATCAATAAAATGATGCTTTCATTGAAGGTCCTCAAATTTTATTCGAACAGAATAATATTATTTATCTTATTTCATGGAGCATGATTGAGTTTACCAAAATACATATGGCCCACAGTGTTCCAAAATTTGTTGTTTTGGGTGGGAAACGACATCCAAATGAATGTCATTTCACACTCTCACCTCCAATTTTGAAGAGCAATTTTCCACTCCCAATATTACGAAGAAAAAGCATTAGCAAGGATAATCGTTGTACATCTCATATTTTATCACGCATGGATTAAAATTAATGCTATCGATCTTTTCCCATCTTTCTGGGCCTCACCTTGGCCAGCAATTTTCCACTCTTATCCCCATTTTTGGAAAGCAATTTCCCCTCTGACACCCAAACCAAAATGCAATTTTGGGACACTGTGTGCCCACGTGACCCCCATGAGGTAAGCTGTTGGCCGCTTATGCGGTTCCTGGGCTCTAAGAGAGATCAAGGTAGATACCAGCTACGAGTATTGTTCTCATTATCGAGAAAAGAATATGAAACAGGGCACCGGCCCATACCTCCCGGGCCATGGCCCATACCTTCCGGTGTATTTTGATGGATGAAAGGCAATTTCACGTACACAGAGTGAAAAACCGAGTCTAGCCACTTCCCACTGGAAGAAAATTGCCTTTTCAGTGACTTTCACAAAACCGGCCCATACCTCCCGGGTCTCCCCTATAACCTATAGTTCATTTATCCGCCGTCTCGCTCCCGAGGAAAAGGCTGGCGCGTGTTCAGGGAATGTATTCGTCGGTGAACATAAGGTCGGTGAACATAAGCGACCATTTCACACAGCCAGCCTTTGTGAGGTGGCACGCCCAAGATATGACACTTGGATGGACGAATACCTTCCACAAAATGACAGAACGATATCAATCACTCCGTAGTACGAAATCTGGCGTAACTAACATCGCTGAAACAAGTTATTGTCCTAACCACTTGGAACCGCTATTGGTGTATTTATTGAATACAGGTAAGTATAACATTTTCGTATACGAGGCACGGCGTAACAGCTGCAGTATAGCGCGAGTACATAGGCGGCAGTCGGGGTGGGGGTGGGAAGAGAAAGCACGACCGTGCCGCACGGTGTCCAGTGAGCAAAAGAGCCTCTGGCGCCGCCCCGGCCGCCGCGGTGCGCGCGCCTGACGTCACGAGGTCAATCCTCGGAGCTAGACCGTCCGATAAATGAGTGTTCGGGTACGGTGCCGGCCCGTCCCGAAAACTACCATTTATCCGCCGTCTCGCTCCCGAGGAAAAGGCTGGCGCGTGTTCAGGGAATGTATTCGTCGGTGAACATAAGGTCGGTGAACATAAGCGACCATTTCACACAGCCAGCCTTTGTGAGGTGGCACGCCCATACCCCCCAACACCGAAACACCGAGGGAAGGCGACAAGCGATAAATGTATGAAGAAACGCGGGCGAGCGCACAGCTAAACCGGAGCCCCGGGACGGGCGGAGAAGCCTACGATAATGTGAAGCGTATGTATGTTAGAGGCACACTTATGCGATACAAGAGGTATGGTGATGATCGCGATACCGCTGCCGGACTAGGGCAGTGTCGGTATCTCGATCGCGACGGGTACAAAAAAAAAATGTGTAGATACCGCAGCCGAAAAAGGGCTGTGTCGGTATAGCGCCCTCCCCCCTGTGTAAACACGCCGCGCAGGGGAAAATGCCGTGTAGACGTGACGCTGTGTGGATCGTCTGCTGCGCGCAGAGAAATGTGGGGAGAGAAAAAAAAAATAGGGAACTGGAAATAGCCACGCACGCGACACCGCGGCCAGCGGGCCGTGTCGGTATCGCGAGCCTGGGAAAACTAGCTCCGAGGACCTACAAACGACAACGACATGGAGGCTGCTAGCGGTCACTGCCGCTGATCTCCAGGAGGGAAATGGGTCGCCGAAGATATCTCCACATGGCAGCCGAGCGCCAGCGCCCGGCCTCACAGAGTTGGACTTGAGACATGCCCTCGCGGGCGCCGTGGGAAGCGCCGCCGATTCTGAGGCAATGCCCTGTCAGTGTCGCAGCGGGAATACCCGCGCGGGTGCCGGCACGGCGGAGCATGAGAGACAGCCTCTTGGCGGTCAAAGGGCGCCCGTCAGCGGAAAGGAACAGTATGTTCGTGGAAAGGCGCGCCGGGCGAAGCCGCAGATAGTCGGCCATTGCCCGAACTGGACAGGTCGCGATATCAGGCCGCGCGTTGAGAACAGTTGTAAACGGCCGGCGCGAGGTCTTTGAGGTGGGGACGGTGATTGAGAGAAAACTGCCTTGCAAGAGCACGTGCTCAAGGCGCAGAGTGTGCTCTGAACTCGCGCCGACCGACACCTCGCCCGGCCGTAGCATGGCGAAAAAGGCGAGAGTAAACGCAGCTCGCAGAGCGGCGGCCTCTAATGGAGATGTGCGCAGAGAGCGCAGCGCGTCACAAACCCTGCTAAGCTCAGTCAGCGAGAGAGGTGCGCGCCGATCCCAGCTCGGCCGGAGGCGCCGGGCGCCCGCGAGCAGCTTGCGGATGCGAAAATCGGAGGTAGGGTCAGACAGACCGTTAATGCGATGAGCGTATGCTAGGGCCGAGCAATGGCTGGCAAGGGCTGCCGGGCCGCAACCAGCGTCGAACCGATTGGCCAGGTAATCTGCCACTTCGCTGACCGTGAGAGGAAACAGCGGGCGACTGGCCGGTCGTTGGAGAAAAATCCGGATGCCATTCCAGGTGCCCTCGTAGGCGCGTACCGTCGTCGGAGCTAGCGCCGCCTGAGTCAGCTCTGCGACGGTCTCAGCATGTTGAAGGCGGTCCAGTCCCAGACAGTGGCTGCTGATGCGGCGTCCGGACGAAGGCGTCGAAAAACCTGCACCAAACCACGAGACAAGGCATCAGGCGCCGCGTTGCGTGTGCCGGCAACGTGTACGGCCTTGATGAGGATGTCATTTCTGACTGCTAAAAGGAACAGGTGACGAAGCCACACCATTGCATCAGGCGAGCGCGAGGATTGTGAGTTTAACGCCGTAACGACATTGGCGTTGTCGGACCGGATCAGGACGCACCTGTGCTCAAATGCAGCGGACCAGACCTGGATGGGGACTACCACGGCCACCAGCTCTTTAATGCCAATGTGTGCCTCCTGCAACCAGTCCGGCCAGGACCCCAGTAACCAGCGGCGGCCACACACAGCCCCGAGACCCACTGACCCCGCAGCGTCCGTCTCCAGAAGCAGCCCGGGCTCACGGAGCCAGCGGCGCCGATCTAGCAGAGAGCGACCGGAACACTGCCCGAGTAAGGTCGACCAGGCTCGTAGATCCAGCCGGGCAGCGCTGGTAATAGAGACTCGGTGAAACGGGCGGCGGGTGCCCGTGCAAAGGTCAAACATGCGGCGCAGGAAGACTCTTCCCAGAGGCATCGTGATGCAGGCAAATTGCAGCAGACCAATGCATGCCTGAACGTCGCGAAGAGGAGCCTTGCGACGTTGAAGAAGGGCAGACACGGCTGAGCGAGCCTTCTCCAGCTTGTCCTGGGGAAGTCTCAGTTCCTGCGCGACCAAGTCGATTTCGACGCCGAGAAAGGTGAGTGACTGGCAAGGCTGGACCGTTTTGTCGGGATGCAAAGGGATCCGTAAGTGATCGCACATGTCCTGGAATCCAGCGAGAGAGGATTGGCATGCGGCATGTGAGCCACCGATGAAAAGAAAATCATCGAGGACTGAGATAATGCGACCGGCGCCGAATTTGTTCTGGGCAATCCACGTGAGCGCGTCGCTGACCGACTGAAATATTTGGGAGCTGCTTGAGCATCCCATTGGCAGAGCACAGTCTCTGTAAATGCGACCTCGCCACTGGAACCCAAGTGACTGGGCGTCTGACGCAGCAACCGGAACGATGCGAAATGCATTAACGATGTCTGTTTTTGCCAAATAGGGGTTATCCAGGGTGATAATCGCATCAATAGCGTCATCCAGTGAACCGTACTGAACTGCGGTGAAATGTTTCGGAATGTGATCGTTCACCGAATCGCCTGCCGGGAACGACAAGTGATGTATGACTCTGTATGAGCCGGACTTTTTGGGGACTAGACCGATAGGGGAGATCCTGGTGACCGCGTGATCAGCAGGTGAAAACGGACCTGCCAGCCTCCCGGCGCGCATCTCTGACACGATGTAGCTGTCGATGACGTGTGGGGCCAACTCGCAAGACGGCAGATTGCTATGCATTGGACCCGGAAGCAAGTCATCGCAGCCGAGTTTGAACCCGTTCGTAAATCCAGAAATCAAATAATGGCTTAATTCGGCGTCATAGCCTACGAGAAGTTGGCCGAGAACGTGCGGGGGCACCGATGACTGGGCGAGTGAAGTTGGCGTCGGAGCGCCCAAGCTACTCCTGCTTTGTGGCGGTGGCTTTACGCTCGTGGGTGGCTCGAGAAGGGCCTGCTCGCGTGGGGCACCGCTGGAGGGAATGCGGCCCCTGGCAGCCACGACATCGGTGCTGGAACCGGCACCTGGATCTGTTGCAGCCCCGCAAGCCGTTGAAGGCATAACAGGGTCGAAAGTTGCCCTGAGAGGGGCTACGCGCCGGGAGTGAAGAACCCCTGGCGGCTCCTCCGACCCCATGGGCTACGGATTGGAGCCACATCGGCGACGACTCAGTCGTTTCGCCCCAGCGATGGTTGATCGGATCGATCTCCCGCGCTTTACGAAAGGCCTGATCGAAGTCCCTCCAGGCAAAACCTAAACCAGGCGCATTTAGCTGGCTGACCAGATACATGTGTTTAAGGAGGCCGACAGCCTCGGAAGGATATGCCTCGGTGTATATCGCCGCAAATTTGATAAAGGCGGCGCTCCATGTACCGAACGAGCCGATGGCGCGTGGGGGGCGGGGGTTAGAGCGCAGCGTACCATCGACCAGTTGGAAAGTGGTACTGGGACCGTCGCTGGTGTGCTCGTTGGGCTCCAGTAGGTGCCCAAGCTCTACGTATTTGTGTTCCAAAATTTTTTGACGCATGGGTGCAGAGACAGCATAGGCATTGAGTGGGTAATTAGTTGCCGTACCTGGAGCCGCAGCATCATGGGCGCCCGGGAGTGCGTGTGTCGCCGGTCCGCCGGCGGCGCTTGTCTCCGGGCAGGCCGCGCTGGTGGGTGGCAGGGCCTCCTGCACCAGCTCTTGCACGAGCTGCCGCAGCTGGCCGGCGTCGAGCGGTACGGCGGCCTGGGCTGCGCCGGCGCCGTCTGGAGCGGCAGACGCGCAAGCGCTACCACCGCCGTTGGACGAGGTGTGGACATCTGGGTAGTCGTATCCGCGGGTGGAGACTCCTGGGCTGCTGCGAGCTGCCCGCGAGGAAGCACGGCGACCGGAAAGTCGTCGCGCAGCCGGTGGTGTAGCAGCTGGGCGGTGGGCCGGGGTGCTGGCGGCGCGAGGGCGGCCTCGGGTGCTGGGGCCGCTGCTCGGCGCCGCGCGGCTGCTGCTGGCTGCCTGGCGGAGCAGACTGCCTCGGCGCGCCGGCTGCGAGACGAGTCGTCGCTGCCGTCCAGGGTCGTCCGCTTCCGCCGGGGCGGGCCCGGCGCGGGTCCGCAGTCTCGTACTCGGCATGATCGGCACATGGAAAGAAGAAGACATAAGTAGGCACGGCAAATTTATTCGAAACACAGTCGTGCTAAAGAAGGCGAGCAAACGATGCGTTGCATAACTCGCCTCTACATTGAGATGTCCCTCATATTAGATGATGCGCTGTGCGCTGATAGCTGCGAAAACATTTAAAAAAAAAAAATGCGACCTGCATGTGAAACACAAGAACGGCTGTCGCGCTTATGGTTCCTATGGCCGAAAACATTGGCCTAGGGACGTGAGTGGTCATCTCAAGCAGAGATGGCAGCGATATGGCTGATCAGGGTTTGGAGGCGCCGCCAGCCGTCCTCAGACGGGTGTACGCCGTCCCTGCCCAGGAAACCGTCACCCATCGGGAACTCGCACATTGCGACACAGGGAGCTGCCACCGGTCGGCAGAAGAGCCTCCGCAGGACTTGGTTAGTGAGCCGCCGACGGCGCCGATACACCGGCGCCGGTACGCTGCCGGGCCGGGACGCAGAGCGCGGCGGGATGGGTAAGATGTGGACAAACCCCACACCGGCGGCGAGGAGGCCCAGCACGAGCTCCTCGTAATGCTGGCCGAGCAGCCGAGGGCTAAAGTGTTCGTGCGCCATATCATTGCCCCCAATGATGAGGAGAGCGTCCTGTGGGCGCACGTGATGGGCAACACGAATTGCCCATCTCCGGAATTCATCGTCGGCGATGCGAGCGCCACGACGGCCGGCCGCTTGGACGCCCTCGCGCAGCTGGCAGCGGGACGACGCCCAGTGGGCGTAGCTGTCGCCAATGACCAGTAGCATGGGACTGAAAGGAAAACCCGAGGACTTATCAGGTAAACGCCTGGGCCGAACTGTGCAAAAGTAGGGCTAGAATGCTGAGCAAGTAGCTAAGGAGAGCCCAGAAAAGGATGAAAAAAAAACGTATTCGCGCAAATATTCGCCGATGTGAGGGAAAAGAACAAAGATGGGGCCCAAGCCAGGGGTGATCGACGGGCAAAAGAAAAAAAAATAATAAAGGCCATCGGAACGGACGTCCGGAATGGCTGGCGTAACACCGAACAAAACGACACATGCCGTCAGACCGAAACGTCGGCAGCCGGCCTTAGGGGCAAATATACTAGCCAGTAAAACGCTGCCCCTCGGGACAACGCCAAAACCGGTGATAAGTCCCATTATCGACGCAGCAAGGAACTGCACCGACCAGCGCAAGGCTAGCAGCCAAGGGCGCCAAAAATGTCCCTAGCAACCTTTCCACGCTGGACAGGAGGGTATGTGCGTCAGAAACAGTAATACCGGCTAGAAGGCCGTAATAGGCTAAAGGGCTAAAGGCCGAACGGTCAAATTAAGACGGCGCAAGTCGTACCGCCAGAACAACACAGTATATGTGAACTGTGCACACGGTCTGGGACACAGGTGGCGACCGACGCTGAGTGCGGGGCTGGGGCGGGAGACGGGCCTGGTAGCTGCCAATAATATAACGTGGCAGTCGTAACACCGGCCCACGGCCGAGCGGTCATATTAAAACCGCATACTTTATACCGCCAGAACGACGCAGTGTATGCGTACTGTGTACACGGTCTGGGATGAGAAGGCCGAATGCCGATGAAAACGTAACTGTGTATGGCAGGGCCCAGCAAGGCATAATATGGCAGAGAATATCCCGGAGGCAGAATTAATAACGTGGGCAGAACTCGCAGTAGACACAGAATGAGTTACTGTCTGACGGATAAGCAACCGTGGCGAGAAGAACGGTGCTTGTACGAAAAAGCAGACTGTTCTGCCACAAGCTCTCACCTGATGGACCGGAGCTAAGAGAAAGCACGACCGTGCCGCACGGTGTCCAGTGAGCAAAAGAGCCTCTGGCGCCGCCCCGGCCGCCGCGGTGCGCGCGCCTGACGTCACGAGGTCAATCCTCGGAGCTAGACCGTCCGATAAATGAGTGTTCGGGTACGGTGCCGGCCCGTCCCGAAAACTACCATTTATAAGTTATAACCTTACTAAAGGCATTTGTTATTTTGAATGCTTAAAGCAATAAGGTGATGATTTATTGTAACCTGGCTATCATTTTAAACTCTGGCTGCAATACCAATTTTCAATTAAGTGGTGTGAAGCACTGCTGGTCCTCGATCCAACTGGACGCAGACGCAGTTGCATTTTACGTCATGTTCAGCGCGTTAGGGCCGAGTTCTGAAACGTCAGAGTGGTATACTGTTGATGTCATAGTTTTTCGCAGTCTCCGGTGCTGGCAGCCATAGTTAGTATCGGTGTTGTTCGGTTCGGATAGTTATATAATCGATGTTCTTTTTCAGACTCGCTGTCGCTTATGTGGTTCTGCGTACCATATCCGCGTTATATCTGTTTTTTTTTTTAGACTCCCGGTGCGTACGGTCTGTATTTGCTACGGTCTGTATCTGTATTTGTTTCTGTATCTGTCCTTTTTCAGACTCGTCGGTGCGTGCAACCCTGTGTCTCTGAATCTGTCCTGTTTTTTTTCAGAATTGCCGGTGCGGACGGCCTAATATATCGGTATCTGTTGTTTTTTCAGACTCTCCGTTGTGCACAGTCCTGTATCTCTGTATCTGTGTTGTTTTTTCAGACTCGCCGGTGCGGACGGTGGCGGTCTGTGCCGGCTCCGGCGGCTCCGTGCTGGCCGGTCAGCAGGCCGACCTTCTGCTGACCGGCGAAATGTCACACCACGAGGTACGGACTACTGCCAACGACAACGGGTCGCCGGGCTCAACATTTTCCCAGTATGCATACTGTCCGGCTCCGGGGGTCGCTTACTCATCGCCAACAAAATGTTGCAAACAATAGAAAACATTTACAGATATTGCTACATACAGTGCAGGTACAGTTACTGCACCGTTTTAGTTAATTCTAGAAGTATTGTACGACCGTCGACCATTGCATATCAGTGGCCAGAGTCAAGTCACCCGTCGCTCCACTGTGACCTGTTGTGACCGGTCCTGTTGCCCTACTGCTACCCTCTGTGACGGTACCCCCACCTCCGTCAGGTGCTGGATGCCACACACGCCGGCAGTCACGTGGTGCTGTGCGAACACAGTAACACGGAGCGTGGGTTCCTGGCGCGGCTGGCCGGCCGGCTGGAGGCGCTGCTGGCCGAACAGGTGGAGCTGGTGACGTCAGAGGCCGACCGGGACCCGCTCACCGTCGTCTAACACGGGGAGAGACCAGCTCACCGGCGTCAGGCACAGGCAAGCCCTGTTCTGCGCCCATAATTTTATGTCGCTCTGATGTTTTATACGTTTGTTTAGGTGACATCTGCATCGGCATCAAGAAGTGTTGCGTTGTGACATGTCTAGGAATGCTACAGGTTTACAGGCATAGGGTGTTGCATGCCACAGACAGGCTCGTTACCAAGAATGGACAGTCTTGTGCGAGCTGTCACTGAACCCGTGGGTCGCTGAACGTTTGTAAATGTTCTTTTGTGTTACCCTGGCGCTATGACGGGTTACAGCAGGCTGTACTGTCTGAGAAAGGGATTCTGGGTCATCAGGGGATCCTTGTACTTTGCCTGTGTTTCTTAATGAGACGCTCTGCAAGTTTGTAACGAGAGTGTTTACCCTTGGTTGAGAAGGTGCTGTGAAACTGTAATGTAAAACGAGTGGAGTGAAACACATTTTGTAAATGACTGATAGGTGCGTGTGATACAATACACGCGTTGGATATAATGTTATTTTATTGAAGCGACGAACATGTTTCAAAATGCAACTCACCAGTTAACATTTTAGTGTGTTATTTGGCGATTTCTTACAAGATTGCTGGCGCACGTTGCTCGGATTTCTTTCTTGCATGTAAAATAATCGGGTATATACAAACATGCATTATACAAAAACAAGGAACAAAGTTACGCCGAATTAGATCGCCTAGATGAAAACGTATGAATATTTCCGACCTTGGTCGTACTCAAGTGTAGAAATATGTATGCGATTCTCATGTATGGATAATAGACGTTAACCCGCGCCCCAGTGGCGGTCTCAGCCAACTTCGCCCTAGTGGGGGGGGGGGCATATATGTTACCACCCACCTCTAACTAAAAAACTAAGAGGGCTAGAAAGCCGCGGTAAAAAGCAGTCGATAGCTCTCGATGCGTTCTTTTTAAAGTATTCAGTCATTTTTCATCTTAGAGCAATATTGGGGTCACCAGAGGTCATCAAAGGTCAAAATTTGCGAATTGTCATTATATTTTTCAGAAAACATGCCATTATCTCAGGAACTATGATAGCTAGAAAAACGCTTGGAAGGGCAATCGATAGCTTTTGAACTCTTCTTTTGATAAATCATCATCAAAAATGACCTCAGGTTAGTGGTTTAGCCACCAGAGGGCAAAAACTCCAAAAATAGCTGTTTTTACGAAAAGTATTTTTCGACAATAACTTTTGACTAAAAAACGCCACGACATTTCTATTGCCATAATCGTGTTCCTCTCGCCGAGACGCGTCGAATAAACTATCATTTGACCTTGAAAGGTCAACTTGAAAATTTGGCCTCAGGTCAAGGTCATGACCTGACCGGAAAAAGTCATGTTGCATATCAGTCGATGCGTCTCGGCCAAACAAACACAATGAGGCCATCCCCAGCGTTCTATCTCTTTCCAATCGAGAGTTATTGGCAAAAAGCTTTTTGTAGCCTCAAATGACCTCGGATGACCTCTCTAGAGGCTATCAACAAAAAAGACACCTTGGTCGTCACGAGTGGTCCAAATCATTGTGATTCTGAAATATTCGGACTGTTCCATGCGTACACACTAATCGAGGCATTTTCGTTTTTCTCTATTGACTTATAATGGAAAGGTCACGCTTCTGACCTGACCTTAGGTCACGGATATAAAAAATCCGAGATATACAAATTGTAGGCGCCTATAACATCATGCAATTCACCAAGTTACCCTTGCCCGCACATGGGGGGGGGGTGGCTGCCATCCCCCCCCCTCCCCAGGTAGTCTTTCTGCTCTGCACTCGATATTTTTAGAGCTAGAAGGCTGATTTTTCGTATAGCTGCTCCTCTATCATTTCTTGATGTCCACTGAAAATTTCAAGTTTCTGTGATTTTTGGTTTCGGAGATATGACCTTGTTTTTCAGGTCATGTCATGACCCAAATGGCCAATTCTCAACATCTTGCGTTTTCAAATACACAATTTTGTCGTTTTTTATATATATCTTGCGTTTGCTATGGGCCTTGTGAGCTTTTGACACCTTGATTTCGGCCTTTTTTGCCAGTCTTTCCTCCCACCTATCATGGAACATGTTGTTCGACGATGTACAGGTGTCAAGGTCAGTGTCAAGGTCAACCTAGGTCATCTAAGATAATTGCGTTTTAGGCAAGCTGAATTTACTTTTTGTGAAGTTTTTTGACTGCATTTTTTATAAAAGCTTCTCAGATCATGATTTCATGTAATATGGACACAAAAACAATCGGTGAACACATCAGTATACACACAGACACACACAGACATACAAACACATATAATTGACCTTGACCTAACTTGACCTGAAATGACCTCAGAAGCAAAAATATGGTCGGGTAGTGTGACAAAGAGGTTCTAGCTAGCTTGGCACCAGAAAACGGCATCGTCATCGGTATATGATAAGCAGCGCACTTGATATCCAACGGTGACCCAAAACAGCAACATTTGTTAGTTTGACCTGACCTGGAAGGTCAATGACTGACCTGAGAAGGCAAAACTGGATATCATTGGATTCGTCTCTTCCCAGAGAATCTTTTTGGTCTTTACCGCTAAGCTCTATCTCCAACAGGAACGAAATGGCGCGGGGGGGTGGCACCCCCCCCCCCCCCCATGTGCGTTCTAGGATGGGAAAATGGCATGTGCGGGCGAGGGTTAAGAACCTTTCTGACAAGCACTGCAGGCTGGACATGATTGCAAACTTTTTTAGGCTTGGTCAGTTAACTTGACCTGGTGACCTGACCTGACATGACCTGGGATAAAAAATTTCACACCTTGTCCAAAATTGATGTACGAAAAGCTACCCCAAGTGGCGCGGCGCTACACGCCGCGGTTTTTTATTCACACGCAAAAAAAAACGCGACAGGGTGGTAACATATGTCCCCCCCCCCCCACTGGGGCGTAGGATAACAATGCCAGTAGGGATCAGGCAATGCTGTCAATGCTATTTTCACCTAATCACGGGTCGGTTTTGTAGGGGAGAGAGGTCATATTGCGCCATGTTCTTAAATGCGCCACACCTTCCTCCTGTCCAAAATTCGATTCGAATGAATGCTCGAATGTGTGCATTTACTTCACCACCAATAACTCGCTCTTATTCCGGTCCACGGGGGCAGGTGAGGTGTCTCAGCTTTCTCGCAGACCATTTTTTGTGATTTCCTCTATTTTCTTACGCGAAACAGTCTATTTCGACCTTTGCTAGTGTCATGGTTTATCTTAGAGATAGTGATTCAACTAATAATCACTGTTAATTGCTCGTTTAATGGTAGTTTTGAAAGTTTATCACCACCGTGGCTTCGCTGTCCTCGCCATATTTGAAGCTCATGAAAAATGTGTTCCATTCGTAATTGCGCCCACCCTATTTGCGCCCTATTCTTCAACCCAGAGAAACAGCATCTGGTGGTTGGGACACGTTTCATTGAACACTTTGGTTATTAGAGCGCTCACCTTACCATTACCTTAGCCTTCCCAGCATAAATGGTTAATGGGCTGTCACGTTCAAATAGGCTACTTAGTTAGGTGGCAAACCGTTGTTTTTAATAGGGCGCTTTTGCATGAGAGGCATGGGCGCTTTTTGATGGGGTAGTCCGTAAATGCGCCCTTTGCAGGTGTGTCGGAAAACTTTTTCTTGTTAATTTTTATGGGTGTGATACAAATTAGGAGTTGTAATTTGATGCCAAAATAACTGAGGTACAATTTGAGATATCATCAAGCATGACAGCTGGTCAACTTTAGCCGCAATAGGCCGATATCCTTAACCCGCGCCCCACTGGGGTCTGTGTATAACACGCCCTACTGGGGGGGTGGCTATTCATAGCCCCCCTCCTAACTCCGAAACTACTGGGCCGATCGTCAAAATTCAAACGGCGTCTGATAGCCCCGGAAAAACTGTCGAACGGAACCTAATTTCATTGACCTCGAGGTCACCGATGACGTCACAGGTCAGGTCAAAGTAAAAATTATTAGCACTTTGGCTTGTTCACATTTTGGGCTCTGGCCGCCGTCTTACAAGTCAGATCAGGCTCATTTTTGGTTTCCACACTCGTGAACAGATGCTCTAGATACCTTAAGGGTACCAAACTTGTACTTTGATTTTCAGGTCAGGGTCAGGTCATCACAGGTCACGAAAATATCATATCATGCGTCGGTCACGTGACACATGTTTTATGGTCCATTTAGGCCATAGATTTCGAATTTGATGTCGTCTGTGTCATTCAAGGTCATTTTGAGTCGAAATTAGCTTAGGTCAGGTCACTTTCAGGTCAAAAAAGGTCAAATTTTGAAGTTGAAATTTTTCAACAAAAAAGGTGTCTAATGGATGCAGTTTGAGCTCAGGAACACGATGGTGCTATTTATATTGGTGTACGATGCCAAATACGTACTGAAAAATTGATTTGAAAAATTGATAATTGTGAATTTTTTTGCAATAATGCGTATAACTTGGCCATTTTTGAAGATATTTAGCTAAAACTTGCTAGAGTTAGTCATAATCATGCGTTCTGTCACATATATTCCGGTTTTTTCGAAAAGTCAAAAACTTTTTGAAAAAAATATAAAAATATAAATTTTGAATATTATTATATAAAATTTTCGAAATTTTCAAAATTTTGAAAATCCGAGATAACAGTTTGATAGCGCGGTCAATTCTGAGTTCTTTCATGCAAAGAAATTGGCTCTACCTTAAAAACTGAGCTCTTGGGAGCGATTGCCGTGGTTCAATGTTTTGCGTCGAAATCGGACGAACATGACGTCACTCTGACGTCATTTCCGGCCGACCTATAGTAGCTACGAAGTTCAAATTTTGACACAAGGTGTCAAATTGATGCAGCCGAAGGTACTGAAAGTTTGGCGTCGATTCGTCAAGCGGTTTGGAAGTTATTGCAGAAAAACGGGAGGGGGGGCTATAAATAGCCCCCCCCCAGTGGGGCGCGGGTTAAGGTGGCGCAATATGACCTCTCTCCCCTACGTTTTATCTCAAAATTGTGTGTCTGGAAACTACAAAAGCGAGCAGCTGTGGTGTTTCCGTATGTGCATAGGTATGTACTTACGCAATCAGGCTTAGAACTCATGTTCTTTGAATTATACAGTTGGTTTATGGGGACTGGCTAAAATGGGGTTCAGTCGTCCACACGATACGTCGTCGGGGACGGGGTAGTTAGCGGCAGGCAGAGTTTGTACGTTCCGGCGATGTTTTCCCTGACGATTAAGTTCTGCATAACCTGCATAATGCAGGGACTGGGGAGACCTCGTAAATTGGAACTCACTGTCTCCCGGTGTTGAGAATACACCCACACCTGTCGGCGGCAGGCGGGTTAGGATCGGCCGTCCCCTACCGCACCATGGCGCGGCCGGCCGTCTCGTACGGCAGCAGCAGTGTGGCGGCTATCCCCAGCGCGGCCGAGGCGGCATATACGGCGGCCGTGTGGCGCACCGAGCTGTGAATTAGCACCTGTGGGAAGACGAGTCGCCCGTCAGACTCAGCACTGTTCACCTGTCCGCCACGACGCAGCAGAAAGCCGCTGGGCACTGAGCAAGCACCTATTCCATATTCAGCGCTATGCGGATGTCATTTGCTCGACTTCCGTATTCTCGTCTGGAGTTAGACGTTCGCTTCATTCAGTACCCCTGGGAGACAACTGCTGCCAGCCATTCACAGGGGCGAAACCAGGGCCTCGTTTCATAAAGCGAGTTCGCAACTTACGCCGCTTTTTGGTCTTGTATTACAAGTACATGTGAAGCGATAAATTTATTTCCCCTTCTCCCTTTTGTTCTTGCTTGCAAGATAAATAAATTCAACGATTCAAAATATCGTTATCGCTTCACATGCACTTGCAATACATGACCAAAAACCGGCGTAAGTTACGGACTCGCCTTATGAAACGAGGTCCAGAGTCCGAGTATTGGCTACTAGGCCGTGCTAACGGTTACTCCAGGGCCATTTTTTATTCCAAGAGTGCCTCCACTGTGTCAGTGAGCATCCAGACCGAAGTGTGGATCACAGGGATGGATGACGAGAACAGGGGGATCCTGAGGATGAAGACGGACATTGAATCGTGGCCGTACCATTTATATACACTGTGGCCGTACCTACCTGGGCTATCAGTGGGGTGGTGATGGCCCCAATCCTTCCAAAGGCGCCACACGTGCCGTTGCCTGTGGCGCGCAGGTGCGTGGGATAAACCTGGAATCAACAGGTCATCGAGGCACTGAGCTAACTCAACCGAGCATATGTGAACACTGGTCAATCATACGATGAAAAGCTACCGACCCGGTAGGCCTCATGTGACAATTGACATCTGGAGTGATTTCATGCACTACTTGCACAGTCTAACCCTCGCCGGCCGAGGGGGGGGGCGCCCCCCCCCTAGGGTTTTTTTCGCGATAGCTCCGAACACGCTGGCGATAGAGAGCTGAAACTTGGCACGGACCTCTGATTCAAGCCGGATCTTTTGACACCAACCGCATTTTCGGGTCAGGTTAGGTCACTGACCGTCATAAGTGAACCTCTGCACGGTCTTCAGATGTCGCAACTTCGCAACGCCCTCACTGCCAGAGCACGGTTCGTCGGAAGCTCATCTCAGGCTCAAAAGAAACGGTATATACCATTCGAAAGCTGACGGAGAGCTGAATCCAAAAATGTAATTTTTATCAAAATCGATCGATGGCCTTTTTTGAAAATTGCGTTTTTGTAAAAACTTAATAACCTTTTATTCAACGGGCTGTCCCGGACATTCTTGAAAACATAAACATGCATTATTGAGTTCCAGTGAAAGCTGAACGCCAAAAGAACAATATTTAGCGAAGCAATATTTCCAACAATATTTAAGCCTTTATTTAAGCAACAATATTTATATTTTTATAAGCAATATTTTTGCGTCTCCCACAGCCGAAAATAAGGCGCAATCACACATCTCAGTGTCACGATGGACCAAAGTCAGCCACAAAGAAGCGTGAAATGACCCTTATCGACTCGCAGACCCGGCGCTCTCGGCCCGCCTGACCGGCCACGAAAAGAACGTTCGGCTCTCGTTCTACTAAACAAATGTCATATTTGTCACTTTAACTGTCCACATCGCTATAAAAGTTATTCAGGATACCTGGGAAGAAAATTCATTGTTCTGCTTTATTTACAACATGCTTTAATTTACATTTTTCTTATACATGTTTTGTTCCATCCAGCTGCGATCAGTGCCCGCGCAGGGGAAGTGAGCGGGGTTTCACTGTCAGAGGCTGTACTGGTGACAGCTGCTCGGCCGTGCGACCGGTCAAAGGTTACCCTGCCCCGCCGGGCGCTACCCCCATCTCCACCCGAGCTGAGGCCGGTGCAACCTCTGACATTTCAGCGCGGCCAATTTTCCTTATATGGGCATGATACCAAGCTCAATTGAGCAAAGTAGACATGAACAAATGCAAATTAAAGGAAATAGTTCACTTTTAACATGGGGTTTGAACTGAAATAGCAGTCTTGTAGCTTGCGCTGAGACTAGCACAAATCATAAGCTTTTATGGCCCAACGATCACCCTAAGCAAAAATATTCGATTTCCCGTTCCAAAAAGAGTGTCTTACGCAGGAATGTGGTGTCTTAGAAAGGAATGCAGTCATATCATCGTCAGCCAATCAGCATGCTGCTTACAGCCAATGCAGCATGCTTAGGTTTGAACTACGCAATGTGATTGGTCAACGCGTAATAAGCTTCCGCGTCAAAACATCATTCTACATAGAATATAGTTCTTCCTATATTAAAATATAGAAAATAATTGTTCTTATAGAAAGGTTTTGTTTTATTTTCTGATCATTTTGAGGATAAAAAATCATAAATCCATAGCAAAATACTAATTTCAGAAAAGTGAACTATTTCCTTTAACCCTCGCCGGACCTATTGGTTTTCTACATACGCGCCGGCCGAGGGGGGGGGGGGGGCGGGTACGACCCCCCCCCTCGCTGTTTCGCCCCTGGTGGAGCTAGCGCGTCGCGGAAAAAACGAGCGTGTGCGCCGTTACCGAGACGCAGAGTTTGGTACCCGATTTTAAGGTCCTAGGTCAACCGGTGACCTCTGAGGTCAGGTCAAGTGCCCCAGGGTACGGTTCCGTTTTTGGTGAATACCTTCGCAAAAAACGGCCGCAGAGCCGCGATTTTGGCAGCATCGTGTTCGCCTCGCTCAGGCGCGTCGAATGATATACTTTTTATCCGGGTCAGGTCAACTTGGGGTGTTGACCTCAGGTCAAGGTCAGGTCAGCACCCCCAGGTCACGAAGTAGGTCGAAAGAGGTCATGTCGCATATCATTCGATTTGGCAAGTCTTCCTGAGTCCATTGGTGGCTTTCTCGACTCGCTAGCTCAATTTGATCAAGAGTTATTGACGAAAAACTAATATGACCTTGATGACGTCATAAATGACGTCACGCAAGGTCAACATTGCAAAAGTGACGCATCTAACCTTGCAAGGAGTGCGTCAAATCACGATTCTGTGTGCTTGAGATAGTTGGAGATCGTTCCCGGCGCCAGAATAGCAGTTTGAATTTTTCCCCATTGACTTATAATGGTGAGGTCACGAAAATGACCTGACCTCATATGACCTTTAGGAAAAATCCGAGATATACAAGTTGTGAGACTCATAATGGATACTAGATCCTGCAAGTTTCATTTCCCTGTGACATCTCCTCTGGCAGTGAGGGCGTTGCGAAGTTGCGACATCTGAAGACCGTGCAGAGGTTCACTTATGACGTCATAGGTCAGTGACCTGACCTGACTAAAAAATGCGGTTGGTGTCAAAAGATGCGGCTTGGATCAAAGGTCAGGTATGCCAAGTTTCAGCTCTCTATCGCCAGCGTGTTCGGATCTATTGCGAAAAAACCCTATGGGGGGGGGGCGGCACCCGCCCCCCCCCCTCGGCCGGCGAGGGTTAATGCATGATGTGAAGATGACAGAACAATGAATTTTCTTCACAGGTATCCTGAATAACTTTAACAGCGATGTGGACAGTTAAACTGACAAATTTGACATTTGTTTAGTAGAACGAGAGCCGAACGTTATTTCCGTGGCCGGTCAGGCAGGCCGAGAGCGCCGGGTCTGCGAGTCGATAAGGGTCATTTCACGCTTCTGTGTGGCTGATTTTGGTCCATCGTGACACTGAGCTGTGTCATTGCGCCTTATTGTCGGCTGTGGGAGACGCATATTAATGTAAGGAAATATTGCTTCGCTAAATATTGTTCTTTTGGCGTTCAGCTTTCACTGGAACTCAAAAATACATGTTTATGTTTTCAAGAATGTCCGGGACAGCCCGTTGAATAAAAGATTATTAAGTTTTTACAAAAACGCAATTTTCAAAAAAGGCCATCGATCGATTTTGATAAAAATTACATTTTTGGATTCAGCTCACCGTCAGCTTTCGAGTGGTATATATCGTTTCTTTTGAGCCTGAGATGACCTTCCGACGAACCGTGAGGAGCTTTCACAGGGAAATGAAACTTGCAGGATCTAGTATCCATTACGAGTCTCACATCTTATATATCTCGGATTTTTCCTAAAGGTCATATGAGGTTAGGTCATTTTCGTGACCTCTCCATTACCTACCTACCTATAAGTCAATGGGGAAAAATAAAAACTGCTATTTTGGAGCCGGAAGCGATCTCCAACTATCTCAAGCACACAGAATCGTGATTTGATGCACTCTTTGCAAGGTCAGATGCGTAACTTTTGCAATGTTGACCTTGCGTGACGTCATTTATGACATCATCAAGGTCATATTAGTTTTTCGTTCATACCTCCCGATCAAATTGAGCTAGCGAGTCGGGAAAGCCACCAATGGACTCAGAAAGACCTGCTGAATCGAATGCTATGCGGCATGACCTCTTTCGACCAGCTTCGTGGCCTGGGGGCGCTGACCTGATCGTGACCTGAGGTCAACACCCTAAGTTGACCTGACCCTAACAAAAAGTACATCATTCGACGCGCCTGAGCGAGGCAAACACGATGCTGCCAAAATCGCGGCTCTGCGGCCGTTTTTTGCGAAGCTATTCACAAAAAAAAACTGAACCGTACCTTGGGGCACTTGACCTGACCTCAGAGGTCACCGGTTGACCTAGGACCTTAAAATCGGATACCAATCTCTGCGTCTTGTAACGGCGCACACGCTCGTTTTTTTCCGCGACGCGCTAGCTCCACCAGGGGCGAAACGGCGAGGGGGGTCGTACCCGCCCCCCCTCGGCCGGCGCGTATGTAGAAAACCAATAGGTCCGGCGAGGGCTAATGTTCACTTTTGCATCGTTGACCTTGCGTGACGTCACCAGGGTTATAGGAGTTTTTCGTCAATAGCTCCCGACAAAATTGAGCCAGCGAGCAAAGCCATCAATGGACTCGGGAAGACCTGCCGAATCGAATAATATGCAATATGAGCTCCTTTAACCAGCTTCGTGACCTTAGGAGCTCTGACCTGACCTCGACACGAGGTCGACACCTTCAGTTGACCTCACCCGAGCAAAAAGTATAGGTAGGGGGGAGTGCCCAATCTGCGCCCGGTCTCCTAATTGCGCCCTCGTCATTTTCTGTGAACCAATAGGTCGATTGGTGTTTAGAAAATTTATTAGTAACAATCATCCAAAAAAAAAATCGACCTACCGCTACCAGCGTAAGGTTGTAGGAGCCGCGTACTTTGAGTGGTTTTGTAAAATGTTATGTTTTCTTATCCTGAGCGTGCTTACTTATTGAACTGTTACTGCCGTTCGTGAGGAAGGGTGGTTGAAAAGTGATTTTAGTAGTGTTATGATATATGTGCCGGGTATGGAGAGACAAAAAACAAGACGGTACATGCCTATTGTGCAGCATTATCAATATTTTGCTGCCATATGACACATTCCGAATTGCGCCTACACAAAATGCGCCATGGCATGGGTGCATTTAGGGCTATGTGAAGACATCGAAGCTTTCAATGTTATCGTTCGTATAACGTTATAAAAAGTGGCCTTTCAATAATACGATAATAGAAATACGATAATACGATTTCAATAAAAAGTGGCCTTTCATATACGATCAACCTTCACTACCTTGAGGTCTGTTTTGCTGTTGGGCAGCTGTAAGGTCATGTGACGTCATCAAAGGTCACCAAAGGTTTTTTGCCAATAACTCCGTACAGGAACAAGATACAGCCGCGCGGATGGTCTCATTGTGTTCAGCTCGTCAAGACGCATCGAATGATATACATGATGACCTCGAGGTCACGTGACCTGAGGTCAACCTTTGACCTTGACCTTTCGAGGTCAACATATATATATATATATATATATATATATATATATATATATATATATATATATATATATATATATATATATATATATATATATATATATATATATATATATATATATATATATATTATATCATTCGATGCGGATTGACGTGAGGATCACGATGACGCCCTTAGTTTGTTCCTATCTTGAATAATTCGAAAGTTATTCGAGAAAAACTCTCTCCATATCTAGCGCCGCCATTTTGACTTTTTTACCCCTGTGACGTTATCTTTGACCTGACCTGAACATGACCTTCGTAAAAATTGTAGACCTTGTCCGTGCGTATCCGATGCCGTTTACCGCTTGTCGCTATCTTGCTTAGTTCTCGAGATCTCAGGGGGGCGGTCATCCGCCCCCCCCCGTCGGTACGAAGTTGGCGCAGACCCCCGTCGGTGCGAGTGTTAATTAAGCTAGAGCTTCGCGGAAAAAGGGGCATATTCGCCGTAACGAGACGCAGTGACTGGTATCCATTTAAAGGTCCCAGGGCAACCGATTAACCCTGAGGTCAGGTCAAGTGCCCCAAGGTACGGATTATGTTTTGGTGAGTTACTAGGTATGTCAAAAATGATCGTAGCCCGTAGGACCGCGATTTTGGCACCATTGTGTTTGTCCTTCTCACTTCTCAGGCGTGTCGGATGATATACTGTTTGTTTGGGTGCCGTTAGCTTAGTGTGTTTACGTCAAGTCAAGGTCAGGTCAGAGCCACTCAGGTCACGAAGCTGATCGAAGGAGGCCATGTCGCATGCCATTCGACTCGGCTTGTGTTCCTGAGTCCATTGGTGGCTTTCCCGACTGGCTAGTTCAATCTATTTGGGGGTTGTTGATGAAAAACCTCTATGGCCGTAGTGACGTCATTAATAACTTTATGTAAGTTTAACGATCCAAAAATTCAACATCGTTTATCTATGGTAAACCAACTAACAACCAAACTAATTGGCCATAATATGGATGTGAATCTATACAAATACCAACCAACACAGAACAGGGGTTAAAACAATGCATGCTATAGCATTTTCTTCTCATTTCATTTTATCTCGGGTGCTTTGTATGAGTCAGTGAATTGTTTACCTCTGGTGTGTAAATGGTGAGACCGAGGAAAACGGACGCAATCGCGGCTCGGCCCAAACCAAGGGAAGCCGTCAGCAGCATACGACTGAAATGTGAAACACCGGTCAGTAGAAGGCGACTGAAACATGCGACACCTAATGTCAGCAGGGCGCCACCGAAATATGGTTCATTTGTGACCTGACGTCAGGGCGCGACTAAAACAAGGGACACTTTTGAGGTTAGTAGGGCGTGACTGAAACAAAGGATTCTCAGGTATCACTAATCCAAACATGTATAGTTTTGCAATAGTTCACTGATTTTTAATTTCGAATATCATTCACATTTTATTGCTTCGAGGCGCAAGGGCCCAGGAAAAGAGATGTAAAAGCGTTTCCCAGTACATACCTACTCACTGTTTTGCGATGGCCACTGTCACCGATTGATACTCAAAACGGCCATATAATAACGCTTATATGGTTCTCTTTGGTAATTGGCTAATGAGTAAAGACCATTTAGACGTTTGTGTCCGTTTCTGTCATTCGAACGTTAACCTTGCTGCCTTTTTAGCTCTATATCTGTAGGGGCTTTATTTGGCATGTGCGTGTAATCCAGAAGACGTTGCAATGTAAAATCTTCCCATTTTTGGATGGTGCTCTGTGGTCTGTAGGGACTGAAGGGCGAAAGCTGTGAAAATGGAGTGAGTGCATTTGTGACACCAGCGGCATATGAGTCGGTAGAGCTGACCCATAGACCGCCGACCAGCATTTCGGGAATCCGCCTTCGTGCCCGGCTGTGACTCATCCTCAATGATTGACATGTCGCCTGGTCGCAGCGGCGGGAGCTGATGATGCAAACGACCTCTCTCTCTCTCTCATTACCTACAACTGAGTGACAACACGCTTAAATGATAACTGCAATACATTCCGCAATGCTCTTGGTGTTGCCGAGGCACGTAATAATTCCAAATCAAGTGGTGCTAGATAAAGTGAACTATATCGGTCAATTGCATACAGGCTACAGCGTGCCTTATCATAGGCCAGGTTACCAGAGACAACAGGTAACTACATATTAAATTTCCCATAAAACGTTTTAAAATTAATTATCTTTCTTTGAAATACTGGTATACCTGCGAATGAAAGCATTCAAACTGAGTTGATAAATATTGTTATTCACCTGGGAAGGAATCATCCCTTTTTTCCCTTAATTTTGACATTTTCCCATAGGATGGAGTGACCAGTTTCAATGACGTGCTTAGAAATGCCAGAGTGGTTGTCGTCCATGTTCCGTATCGCTCTCTTGTGTTCAGCTTCCCTAGCCCTTATACTTCTACCCGTCTCCCCAATATAAAACTTGTTACATTCACACTCATATTGGTAGACTACCCCAGTATTATGAATTTTTCCCGCTTGTCCTTTGGTCTAACCAGCATGTTCCGCAGGCTCTGTCCTGGTTTTGAAGTTGCCCAATTGCGTAGGGTTTTAACGACCTAGTTATCCTTTCTGTGACCCCTTGTACGTAAGGCAGAACAACAAGCGGCTTTTCCTCTCGCTGTTCCCCTGTTGGCCTACTCCTTTCTCTGGTCATCTTCCTACGCGTAGCCCGTATGAAACTTTTTGGATAGTTGTTCACTTTTAAAGCCCTTTGTATGCGTTTTGTTTCTTCGGCTTTATCGCTCTCGTCTGTTGAAAAGGTCTCCCCTCGTTTTATAAGTGAGCGAACTACCGACTCTTTGTGTTGCACGCTGTGATGAGACTCAAAATTTAGATAGTTATCAGTATGCACCGCCCTTCGATATACCGTCGTTTCGACCGAACCGTCTATTTGCCGCCTGACCTCGACGTCCTAGTTCTACTTAGATTATGTTTAGATACAACATACTTTCAGGTAAATGGGGAGTGCTGCAAACAAATGAAAGGAACCGCTATGGGAAGTCCGGTCAGTGTAGTTGTAGCGAACCTTTTCATGGAGGAATTGGAGCAGTCAGCTCTAAGGTCCTTTGCTCAACCGGTGAAGGTGTGGAAACGGTATGTCGATGACACATTCGTGGTCATCAGTGGTACCGACGTGGACCCCTTGCATGATCATTTGAACTGTCAGAATGACAACATTCATTTCACGGTAGAAAAGGAAAGTGACAGTACCTTACCATTTTTGGACGTCGAGGTCAGGCGGCAAATAGACGGTTCGGTCAAAACGACGGTATATCGAAGGGCGGTGCATACTGATAACTATCTAAATTTTGAGTCTCATCACAGCGTGCAACACAAAGAGTCGGTAGTTCGCTCACTTATAAAACGAGGGGAGACCTTTTCAACAGACGAGAGCGATAAAGCCGAAGAAACAAAACGCATACAAAGAGCTTTAAAAGTGAACAACTATCCAAAAAGTTTCATACGGGCTACGCGTAGGAAGATGACCAGAGAAAGGAGTAGGCCAACAGGGGAACAGCGAGAGGAAAAGCCGCTTGTTGTTCTGCCTTACGTACAAGGGGTTACAGAAAGGATAACTAGGTCGTTAAAACCCTACGCAATTGGGTAACTTCAAAACCAGGACAGAGCCTGCGGAACATGCTGGTTAGACCAAAGGACAAGCGGGAAAAATTCAAAATACTGGGGTAGTCTACCAATATGAGTGTGAATGTAACAAGGTTTATATTGGGGAGACGGGTAGAAGTATAAGGGCTAGGGAAGCTGGACACAAGAGAGCGATACGGAACATGGACGACAACCACTCTGGCATTTCTAAGCACGTCATTGAAACCGGTCACTCCATCCTATGGGAAAATGTCAAAATTCTGGCGTATGAAACAGACTGGAGGAAACGTAAGATTAACCCTCGCCCGCACATGGGGGGGGGGTGGTTGCCACCCCCCCCAGGCAGTCTTTCTGCTCTGCACTCAACATTTTTAGAGCTAGAAGGCTGATTTTTCGTATAGCTGCTCCTCTATCCTTTCTTGACGTCCACTAAAAATTTCAAGTTTCTGTAATTTTTGGTTTCGGAGATATGACCTTGTTTTTCAGGTCATGTCATGACCCAAATGGCCAATTCTCAACATCTTGCGTTTGCCATGGGCCTTGTGAGCTTTTGACACCCTGTTTCGGCCTTTTTTGCCAGTCTTACCTCCCACCTATCATGGAACATGTTGTTCGACGATGTACAGGGGTCAAGGTCAGGGTCAAGGTCAACCTAGGTCATCTAAGATAAATGCGTTTTAGGCAAGCTGAATTTACTTTTTGTGAAGTTTTTTGACTGCATTTTTGGTAAAAGCTTCTCAAATCATGATTTCATGTGATATGGACCCAAAAACAATCGGTGCACACATCAGTATACACACAGACACACACAGACATACAAACACATATAATTGACCTTGACCTAACTTGACCTGAAATGACCTCAGCAGCAAAATTCTGGTCGGATAGTGTGACAAAGAGGTTCTAGCTGGCTTGGCACCAGAAAACAGCATCGTCATCGGTATTTGCTAAGCAGCTCACTTGATATCCAACGGTGACCCAAAACAGCAACATTTTTTAGTTTGACCTGACCTGGAAGGTCAATGACTGACCTGAGAAGGTAAAACTGGGTATCATTGGATTCGTCTCTTCCCAAAGAATCTTTTTGGTCTTACTGCTAAGCTCTATCTCCAACAGGAACGAAATGGCGCGGGGGGGGGGTGGCAACCACCCCCCATGTGCGTTCTAGGATGGGAAAATGGCATGTGCGGGCGAGGGTTAAAGAAGGGATATTCATAGAAAGAGCGAAGGGTAGAGTTTTAAATACAAAACCCGGTGTACCGCTGGCAAATGTGTACCGTGTGCTGAAGTAGTGAAAAAGTGCAGGGTGTCTCTATGCTGGGACCTGAGGAATGATAATATGTATACTTGTATGCATGTTGTTCCGCCGTTTTGACGATTTGCTTATGATGTTGAAGCGCATGTGATAGGCATGTGTCTTTTTTATCGTTGCTGACGTCTGTGATATTACCTGATATTTTTACTCTTCATCCAAGAAGCGAAGACTTAATTTAAGCATGTGACCACATAATTTTGGAAATTTGAATGTGCGCCACTTATACGTATCCAAACGATGTTTAATATCACGAACCGAAGGACTAGGATGAATTGTTAATTTTGATTTGATTCTATGTGTGTCTAACTGTCTAGGCTGAGGAAGAAAGCCGCAGTGCTTTCGAAAGCTACCATAAATAAAAAGTACCTGGTGTTTCGAATATTCGTCCTAAACCTCAAACTGAGTTGCAATATCAGAAATAAATAATTCGCTAGTTATTGACGGGCCGTTTCGTCATGTGCCCTTGCATATCACTTCTTATTAGCGAAGTGCCAATTACCTGTTCTGCGCGATTGCGACCCTTCGTATAATTTGTTAGACAACACTTCTTGTGTACCAATAAAATCTATCTGAACGGCTTTTCGGATGAGTTGACTTATCGGAATGTTTCATCATCGTGCAATTTTAACCCTCGCCCTGGCAGGGCATTTTTCATAACACGGCCTGGCAGGGGGGGGGGGTCGATGCGACCCCCCCCCCTCTCGCGATTGGCTCCTATGGCACTTAGAAACACCAAATTTGGTAGGTAGGTGGGCCCCCTGGATTTCTCGCCCCTGTGCAAATTTGGTTGCTCTAGGTCAATATTTAGGGGGTTTTTTGGGGGGTATAAATGTAAAAATTTCGCTAAAAACAGGTCAAAAGTTTTTCGCTTATAACTTTTGATCTAATTACGATAGAGCAAAAAGAAAAGCACCAGTGAACTCAGCACGTCAAGGCGCGTCGAATGCTATACTTTTAGCTTGCTTGAGTGTACTTAAAGTTTTTCTTAATTTTTAAGTAAAATTTAATTAATTAATTAAGTTCAATATTACTAAATTGCATCATATCGCATATCATTCGATTCGGCTGATCACCAGGAACACAATAACACCATTTTTCAAGCTCTAGTGTCATTATGTGCCAAGTTATTGGCAAAAACGTCATTTGACCTCAGTTGACCTCATTTGACCTGACCCATGGATAAGTACACCAAACAAAGAAGCACCAAGTGACCTGCTGTTAAGTACTGTGGTTTCAAGGCACAAAAGTGATAGAACGAAGCGGATATCTCCAGTATTTTCCGAGTTTAGTATTTTCCCATAGGCTTAACATTACGACGTAATGACCTCTAACTGATCTCAGTTCAGTGACCTCAAAAAACCCGAACTATATGTTATACAACTCGGTGAACTTAGCACATCCTGAGAGTTTGAAGGAAATCAGTCCAAAACTGTGAGCTGGACAGGTGCAAAAAGAAAATTCAAATTTGACCATGACCTTGTACCGGTTTTTCTGACCTGGTGGCCTGACCCAAGGTCACCCGGACCTGACATTTTCAGGTCATATGTAAAAAGGCTGCCCCATAGGCTATGCCAAATTTGGCGGCCCTGCGCGCCGCCGTTTTAACGCTATCTTCGAAACACCTTAGGGGGGGGGGTCGCATCGACCCCCCTGCCAGGGCGAGGGTTAAACGTTTTAACGCTATCTTCGAAATACCTTAGGGGGGGGGGTCGCATCGACCCCCCCCCCCTGCCAGGGCGAGGGTTAAAGTATTTATCTAACTAAGAACATGACCGTAGTGTTCCAGAGCGCTACAAGCAATAAAAACTGGCACGAGAGTATTGTCTTGATATGCATATATGCAGACGCAGAGGTGGCCGTAGCTGAGATTTGGTCTGCTCCCCCGCTTCTCCGATACCTGTGGATCGCTTATTTGGCTGAGGAGCAGCCGATACCTACTGAATACTGATAGCGAATCCTCCCCCAACACACACCGAATAAATAAGCAAAACTGGGTAGCGGACTCGAGAACAAATTGATCCAATACTCCGCTACCAGCGGCAGACAACAGAAGACCTTTTTTGTGAAATGTGTGTGATTTGGACAATGCACATGCACTTTGATCCAGCCTCAGCTGCTATCATAATTGATTAATCACTCTATAATTATTTTAGTTACATTTGCTGCTCTCTTTCCAAGCGCCATTTTTAACGTTTTTCTTTCGTATCCATGTGAATATGATCATTGGAGGACACAAGTAACTATTCCTTCACAACTCAAGAGATGATGAGTGTCGTCTTGCGCCTGGCATCGTTCTTTTAGTACCCTAGGCCTCCATGTGACACGATACGAGAGTCAGTTTACATTTTACAAGGAGCAGTTTCCTAATCGCGGCAACCGCGCTGCTCAGCGACGCAGGGCCTCGTCTAAGGAATTTTCACTGGGGGGGGGGGGGGGGCCAGAGGCTGAAGGAGCCAAACCTAGGGTACCCCCAAATCCTGTTTTCTCGCCGGATTTAGACCACTTATTATTTCATCACAGCCCTGATACCATGAATATTTTTTTAACAAAAAAAAAAAAAATAGTAGGCAATCCGACCCATGCTTTTATATTAGTTTGTAGCCTCCTCACATATTGCCCCATCAGACAGTAATAATCACACTTCTCGGTGTTGAGCGTGTGTTTGAGTGGCAGTGCCTTGTCTAAGGAATTTACATGCCGAGCCTTCTTATATCGAGGCCCACACGCATAGATTTTTTTGCGAACCACATCGGTTTCTGATGGGCCCCACTCACTTCTGAGCGCTCGATGCCGAGCTCTGAGGGCTAATGCCAGCTTCTGGACCCACGTCTTCCTCTATGGTAGCCCACACTGGTTTTATATGATTCATGCCAGGCTTTAAGGGTCAATCTGAGTGGAGACCGTATTTTCCCACGTAGTGCTCCCTCAGGCCAGTGTAATGCCTGTGTATCAACTTTATCGACTTGGAGACTGATGGCTTCTCAGGTGGATTCTCCGTAATCGCCGTGGATCTCCGACATAACCTTAAGGTCGTCAGAGGCTATAAACTAAACAAAAATGAAAATTCTCCCGTGTAGTAGTGCAATTTGAGGCGAGGCCCGTCGGGACCCTAAGTGGCTGGTATTTGTCCTCCGGGACTCCATGCCGACTTCTTTAGATAATCCAGCTGTTAGTTCCCGTCCCCACAGACAGACCACCAATCTGCGCCTACGTACGACCACCCATGAAACGGGAGCCTGCTTCATTACGATTAGGAACTACTCAAGCCGCACCCCGGTGACCGTCCAGCCAGAAGAATTGGACGCCGCATATAGTGAGGACGACGATAGGCAAAAACAAGAGATTGACGCCCTGTGGACAGAAACAACTGATTGATACGTAAAGGAGCATTTTTTGCCGGTAGAGCGTTGGACTCCGCGTGGTGAGGGCACGCGTCCCGGTTATAACAGTCCGGGTTCGAAGCGCGACAGAGTCGCTCGATGTTTATGAGCCTCCTGGCGAGTATGGTTACGATTGGTGGCAGGCCGTAGCCAGTCGAAGTCAGTGAGGGGACCGGCCGTGCGCGGCTATGTGCATACGTTAAACTTTGGGCTCTAAATTCTGCCATAGATCAGGAATTGCGCGATCGGAGGGTATGAGGGCAGGGCCAACGCAACAAGCTCTGCTTAGCGGGGGCTCTGTCCTTGTGAATCCTTCCATTCAAAAGGTTCGGACTTAATTTATAAAAAAAGAATATCCCGGGCACGGAGTTAGGCGCCTGAAAAGACGAAATGTAACGTATTGCTGTGCGAAAAATGGTTCAGGTAAACAAAATAAACACTTGATAACAGCCCTAGGTAATCGGGTATATCAATGTGCTCACATTGCTTCGTTTACGCCTTTGCTTTTATGTGCACTGACGCCTCGAAATAAAAACTCGTTTGCCTTTTAGCTATTGCCGGCCCCCCCCCCCCCCAGTAGTGACTTTTTGCCCTGACTGGGGGGGCCAGGCCGATGACTGCGGGGGTTTGCCCCCCCCCCCAGTTAACATGTTAGACGAGGCCTTGTGGACAGACGACGAGACAAGGTGGATCCATCAAGCCATACTGAGGAATGGCTGCTAATTTTGAGTCACCGAACCAATTGAAACCTGGGGGATAGATGAGGATGTCAATTGGCTCAGTGACTCAAATTTAGCAGCCCTTGATAGATCTTGATGGCTTGATGGATCCACCGCACCGATGCGTGTTACTTGCAAGACTGACTGCCCATTGTCATCGTTAAGCCGAGCTGACGGCGGCCCGCGACCCCCGCAGCCTCTGGCCGTGTCGCCGGTCGCGGATGTGCCACCGGCGAGGAGGGGTCCGGCGGTCGCCGTCTGACCGATGTTGTTTGTCGTCCTTTTGCTGTCGCCGGGCCGCGGTGGCGTCAGGTGCGACCTTTGGGGGTCCGGCTGGCGGCCGCGGTGACAGCGCCGTGTCACTGCTGACCGGCGGTGGGGCCGCCCACGGCTGGCGGGCCCCCTATATGAGCGGGCGCGACGCGGCCGGCAGCCACCGCCCTGGTCGGCACCCTCCGGCACACCATGCTGCGGCTGATCTTGTTGGCGGCGTCCGCGGCGCTATGCGCCGGCCACTACGGCACCTACCTGCAGTCGCGCCACTTTGCCGGCATTGACCTGTCTCCGTACTGGCAGCCGCGCTACTGCGCGCCCATCCGACTGCGCTACCCGGACATCAGCGACCTCACCTGCTACTACATCGTGCAGTACTATGTGCGCCGGCCGCCGCGGCTCTACCTGCCGCACCTGGGCCTGCCGCACATCTCGCCAAAGGTCAGCGAGCCCAGCCGCCCGCGCCGCCAATTATCTTTTAGAGTTAAATAGATAAAGTTTCAGCTTTACTTTATAGGTTAATGAGTTTAAATTGGGAAACATTCTTGCACAGATCGTACAATTTATGATTTTTGGTGATATTCCGTTCTCGACATTATGCCGATAGGAGTGTTTGACTCACAATGGTGAAAATATTTTGGTAGCGCCTGGAACAGTGCGAGTCTGGAATGGCAGAGATCGGACCAGCCGTGTCCAATGACCGTTTAGCTAAGCTCGATTGCCTCAACTGACCATGCAAGTGTGTGCCCGCAGTCTCTGGTGCCGCAGCGGTACTGGGTTCAGTACCTCAGCAAACTGGTGGACCTGATGCCGCCCGTCTTCTACTATCCGAAGCCGTTCTACAGCAATCTCTACAGCCACGTCTCCAAGTACTACCCCACCATCACCGACAGCAGCTTGTACTTTGTAAGTCCTTCGCGCGTCCATTGGTTACTGGGGGCGGTGATTAATGACCAGAGCCCAGTGGTTGTTAATTACCGGTCCGGTGTTTAGCGTGGCCGTTTGTTGTCTACGTTACCTGCTACCGGGCTTATTTGACCGGTGCTTTATCGTTACCGAACCGGTATCTCCATGGCGAGTGCTGATCACGGCCGTCCGTCCGTTCCAGGATCACCTGGCGCTGACTGACACCTACATGTGCAGTCATCTGGTGGCTCCCGCCAGCTGGAGCCTGTTCAGACCCTTCTACAGCCGGCATGTGCTCAGTCTCAACTTCAAGCGGCATTGTGAGTCTAGCTAACCATCCGGCTCCTTCCACTCTACGAATTCGCCCATTCTTATCAGTGGTCATACTCTCCTTTACTTGACTGGCGGTCACCCTCACTATGCGAAACTGCAGTAAGGACAGCTGTTTCAAGCGACCATGCCCCTGGTGACCGTTTGCGTGTGGACACCTTGAGGTCCAAGTTTACATTCGGGGATCATCGCCGACATATCAGCATCCGCCCTTATGTAATGCACAATTGCATATCTCTAAATAAATTCCGAGCGAAATCGTATACACAGTCGTGTGTCACCCACTGTATAGTAACAGACAAACGTGTGCCACTGTATGATGTGTCAGCTGACAGTTGTCGTGCGTCACTGTGTGCCCTCTCGAGTATCATGTCACTGTGTCATCTGGCAGCTCTCATGTGTCCTCAGTGTGTCACCTGACAGTTATTGTGTCACTCTCTAACGTGAATCTTGTGTCCGCAGTCGCCCGCTACCAGTACGTATTCCCGAGGCTGCCCACGATCGTCTCTAAGCTGAAAACCTACCAATTCATCCCCTCTAAGCCGTACTTCAAGAGGGCCTCGCTGAAGTCGCTACTCATCGTAAGAAAATAGTCGTTACATATTTTGAGTCTAAAATAACCTGTGATAGTGTCTCAGATCTGGGAAAGCATAACGATTAGTAGCCCCTTAATTGGTGCAGCATATTGCTAAACGTTACGATATGACAATTTTAGGTGAACGTTGAAACGCACCGGACTGAAACATATGGAATTGAAACACGAATTCGATAATTGTGTTAAGCACAAGCCAGCAAAGACGAGAGAATTAATTGGAAAACAGTTTTTACTGCTAACAAATGCTAACCTAGATTACCGTCAAAAGCTCAGACCGTTTTCAGTCATCTTTTCTATACCGAACTGTAGGATATCACACTACCAATGATCGGCTGGTGAATGGAGTGCTTGTTTGGTATTCGATGGAAGTCCTCAATGCCCATTTATCTTTGACAGGGGAAGACCAGGCTGTCGTACCCACACCCAGATCTCTTCCCTGAAAAGAACCTGTGGTTCCCGCGAAGGACTCTCCGTGGACTCTACAAGTACCTGAGCAAGAGGAAGTACCCGTGGTCCAGCTGGTTCAGCAGGATCAAGACCATCACCACGCCCAAGCACATCAAGTGGGGCTCGGGATACGACGGCCTGGTGAGTTTGTCGAATCCTTTCAGCTGCACGTTCCTGCACTGACGACGTGGCTGTACTCCGGGAGGCTCCAGTCTCGCCATGATCAGGCTGATTGGTTTTGTCTCTACCTGAGTGTGTTACTCACGTGCCGGGGTGTTGACTCACCGATCTCTCCGTCCCTGTACAGGTGTGCCAGGCTAAGTACTCGCACCTGTCGTTCCTGTGCCCCGCATGGAGCCACGGACTACTGCCCGTGCTGCGTCTGCGCTTCGCCAGCTACCCCAAGGATATCATCTACTCGCGCAAGGCCACCTTCCAGTCTTTCCTCAGCGGCTTCCTGTATCAGTGGGTGAGTAACTCAAAACTTTCTAGATGCGTCCAAAGCTAAGCTTATTCGCAAGATTTTTTTATGAAAGTGACGACGAAAATATGTTAACTTTACCTACAGACAGACTATGTAGAAAAGATTTGTATCGGAGGATGACCGTGTGCCGTCTGCCGCAGCGCCCGAGGATCCGCGTCTACAGCCAGAGGCTGGTCACCAAGGCGCTGCTGGCGTTCGACAGCTACGCCTGCAGCTGGCTGGGCATCCACTTCAGCAGCCGCTACAAGTTCTGCAAGCCCAGCAGCCTCTGGTACCCCACCCTCTACAGCGGCTGCAAGAGCTACGGGTGCTAGGGACCAGGCGGTGTCATAACTTACTAATTCGGCACAATTCCAATATTTAGTCTTTCTGGTTTTATCGGTAATGTGATTTTCATTTGGCTGGAATCTAATACAACTCTAAAGGATTCACGTTATTTAAAACGCATCGAATTACTCACCTGTGGATGCAGAATAGTGGAACAGAGAGCGACAGGATGAAGATGAGCAGTCCCCCGGCGATTGTTTTCTTTCTGCCGATCTTGTCGACCAGCAGCACGGTGAGCAGCAATCCTGTGTGGTCACAGCCGGTGACGGTCACTCGGCAGCGTCGGGCGTCTCACAATACGATCTCAGCCCGCTACAGAGGCGACCGTAATGCTGAACAGACGACCAGCCGCCGAACGGAATGTTAGCATGGGTGTGGATTTCCGCCGAGCGGGGGTGTCCGAGCTCTCCCAATCCCGCGCCGGCTTGGCTTTGGAGCCGCAGCAGACGGCGCGGGTCAAGGTCACCGCTAGGGCGGCGGCGGTTTTGTTGAGCCCGGGCACTCCCGACTCAGCGGTAATCCACGCCCATGAATGTTAGCCGTCCTGGGCTGTAATTATGAGTAGTAAAGTAATATTGGTAATTATAGCCGTCTATTTATTTTTACGTATTTCTTGTATTACATTACTCGTACAGGTCTCGCGGGTTTTAGCGGTAGGTTTTGCACCTAGAAAATTTCGTGTACTTCAGGCTATGTCTTCGTCGTCTTAGGCTTTTAAGCGTTGAAGATGCGCCGATTTGTTGGGTAACAAGCCGGCCATGAACGTGTAAAATGGCTTCATCGTAGATCGATTAGTTTCTGAGATATAACCGGAAATGTAAAAGTGCAAAACCCACCGCTTAATCTCCCGAGACCCGTACATAAACCAGGCACTTACCTGGCAATTCTGAGAGCGCAGTCCACAACACGTCTAGGTAGTCTGCCTTGGTGAGTGTTGCGCAGTGAGCTTGACACACCTGGAATAAGGAAGACGGCTATAATCACGTAACAGACAATTAACAACACTTGGCATGTCAGTCGAGCCAGTCGACTCGAAACAGGCACAGCAAGAGGTGTCAATTTTCTGAAACGAACGGGATTAGCGGGCAAGTGCCCGTGGATCACCCTAAAATATTCCCGCAGGAGTCGAATGACTCGACCAGCGCAGCGTCGCGACGGTCGTCGCGCCTGGGAGGTATGCTGTTCCGCCCGGCGCACTGCCAAGTGCCTGGAAAGTATGCTATACCGCAAGGCTCACTGCCAAGCGCCTGGGAGGTATGTTGTGCCGCCTGGCTCACTGCCGACCGCCAGCCCTGCGGCGATAAGGGCGCGGGGATCGGCCGAGCTAAGTTGACTTGACAGTGGAGTCGTACTTGAGTGAAACTATGATCAGACTGGGGATTGAAAACAAGTTAAATATATACTAAAAGATGAGTTTTGCCCATTGGTAGCTGACTAAAATCGATTGTGCGCTTTAAAACAAAACTATAAGGCTTCTCTCGAACACCCCAACCAAGTTACCAACCATATAACTGGTAGTATTAACCAAAACGTGCATTTCTGTAATGGGACAGTTTTGATCCACAAGTGGTAGCCACTCACCCGCTCCTGCTGTGGTTCATCAATAGCTGAACACATCTGATCCTCGGGCATCTTCAGAAGCTCTGTGGCTAGCATTATGATTCCATAGTAACAAAACGTGACCATCATCCTGCCAAAGAGAAATGCCAGTCAAACCATGTCAGATAAGTGGTTAAAAAGCTTATCTTTAAAAACAGGTCCTTGATAAAGTTAAATGTATGTAGATTACAGAATGATGTTTTTTTTTTACAAATCCCGCACCACCTACCATAGTGTCCATAGGAGGACGCTGGTGCGGCGATTCTGACGCGACAGCAGGTCGGGGAAGTGGCCGCGACTCTCGTCATTTGCGCTGCTGGTCTCGAGGTGGCCCGGAGGCAGCGCTCGTCCGTTCTTGGCCGCCAGCAGGTCCATGGTGGCCTGGGCGAGCTCGGGCCGGCCGCACGCGGCGTGGTACCGGGGACTCTCCACCAGCAGCTGGCGGTACAGGCCCGTACTCTTACACGCCGACAGGTCGACCGTGTCTTCACATGATTCAGAGCATAAGCATTCAACGCATTATTTATATCCCCATATTAGACCTCTCAGAAATCTAGCTAATAGAACTAATAGAACCCTTTTCCAGTATATAACGCGCGTTGAGCGCTGCCTTGTGCGGTCGCACACTAAGGCGTTGCACGCGGACACCGCTTACCGGTGACAGGAGGGCGAACAGCACCAGTGGGATGCTGGAGGTGGCCAGCAGCCAGCGCCAGCCGAGAGTGGGCACCACGACCATCGCGAGCAGTACCTCCAGGATGGCGCCGCTGGTCCAGAAGAGCTGCAGCAGAGTCAGTCTGCAGGGTCACCGCTTCGCTGTAGGGCTACATCTGCGAGTGATGTTGAATTTAAAATTGCTTAGCAGCCCTGATGCAAACTTTTAACCCTGCTAAGGTCTAAGGACAAGATAGCTGTTGCTTTTGCTGAAGAACAAGCAAATCTGAAAGAAACCGCGGAAAGAACAGATCATTGCCATGGATAACATCGAAATATTTATGCCACTATTGGTGAAAAACAGAGAAGCTGGATCACTTTGATAAATGGATGCTTAGTGCTTACATCCTCACAATATTAGTAATGATTAATTCATGAAGTGTTTGCTGCAATGAAAAATGGACTTACCTGAATAATGATCAGGCTTTTTCCTCGCTGATTTGTTGGGATAAACTCGGTGAACAATGTAACCCTAAAAAATACGGCGACATCAGAAATCAGCTCTTCCAATTGAAATGAGCATCACACAGATTAGTCGGATGGTAAACTTCATGTTTAGCGATTACGTACGATTAAATGAAATATACCACTTACGTCCTCAACTTTTTTTTTTGCTACAGCTTTGTGATTTTTTAATGATCAGAAAGGAAAAAATGAATATTAAAAAAAAAAATCATGTAAAAAGAACTATCATCCATCTCTGGTAGCGGCCAAATAATATCTGCAGCGGAAGCTAGCGTTCGCCAATCATACTGCTAGTTCAACACCAACTGCATGCTAATTAGCTGACGAATGGCCTGTGCCAGAGGTGACTGCATTTGTTGCATTCCTCCGTAGGGCACCGTTTGCCTCCAAAGGGCTGATTTCGAAACTAAAATCAATATGTCTTTGGCTAGGATGATCGCTGGGGTGTACAAGCTTCAGAATTGTGCTAGTAGCAGCTCAAGCTACAAAACGGCTACTTCACTTCAAAACCCCATGATTAAAGTGGTTAGTATTTTCCTATAAGTCGTTAATCGTAAAGTCGTTATTCGTTTAATCGTTATTCATTAATCGTTTAATCGTTATTCGTTAATCGTTAATCGTGCATTTACACGTATAAACGTGATTAAATAAACTAAAATAAAAAGGACCTTTCATTAAAATCGCCTCCTCAGGGGGTCGCAAGATACTTGAGAACCATGTAAGCACTTGAGCAAGTGATCCTGTAACGAAACATAAGCTTATGTGTTTAAGCTAATATATGATTGATGAAATGATCAACGAATTAGCTATTACCACGACCAGTGTAACGAAGCCTTTTGCCTGCATCCTAATTCGCGTCTTATAATATTTCATCAAAACCAGTAAAATCACGTATTTATTCTTAAACGGGGGATACGACTGGCAGACCTATGTGTACATACATACATTCACATACACTGCATCTGCATAAATTATGACATTATATACTGATAAGCTACGTCAGTTCTTGCAATATAAGGCAGCCTTTCAGTTACATGAATGTAGTTGAGAGCAGTGAACGGAATCAGTGATTCACTGATCATTGTCGGGGTAACTAGTTCGACTTACACTTGCTGAACGGAACCGATGAAAAAGCCGACCAGACAACGGAGAATGGTGATCCAAATGAATGTCGGAGCAAATGACGATAAGAATCCAAAATAGGCCAGAAAGAAGCCAGATACAAGCATAGTCTGAAAAGTGAACAAAAAAGTCAGTATTGTAATAAGATAAAAGACGCATGAAAATAGCCGGCTGGAATCAGTGATAACATTTTGAGAATGCTCAGAAACAAGCAAGACCCATATAATATATTCCCATGAGCGACATACACTGTAAAAAAAACTTACAAGCCCCTCGTAGAGGAATTCTCAGCGCAAAAATAACATTGCAGGAGCGTGTAAATTTGGCTAATTTTAGGCTAGTTGCCGAGTAACAAGCTTGTTCGACAAGGCTGTGCCTCGTATGCATACGACCACCGTGCTCCACCTAGTTTGACAACACGCACGTAAATAGCGTGGGTAGTGCGTCTACTAGGTGTCATAATAGCCCCTGCCTGGTAAGGTTACTAGCCACTGCCTACTAATCCATACCCAGTAATTGTACTAGCCCCCAAGGCTAGTAGTGGTACTAGCTCAAGGCCAGTAGTGGCACTAGTTAACTAGTACCACTACTGGCCTTCGGGGTCGAGGCACTGGGTCGACGGAATTCCGTCGACGGAATTCCGTCAACCAGTGCCCCGACTCTCGACCGCCACCCGCAAGTAAACAGACTGAGTAGCGCTGCAGCACATTTATTCGGGCACGAGAACGAGAACGAGAACAATAACAACGCCAGGACAATAACTATAACTTTAACAACAACAACAACAACAACAACAACAACAACAACAACAACAACAACTAACTGAATAATTTGCAATCAGGTTTCTTAAATAACCACCATCAAACATTTGTGATTTTTCATTAGCTCTGCACCGGCGGCAGTCGCGGGGTGAAGGTAGGCCAGGACATATGTACATGGCCCCATTCTTTACCAGAGAAGTCTGTAATAGGCGAAAAAAAACGAATATCAACATTATTATTATCATAAGGCATACCAATCTGGAAAATGATTAAATTAAAGTTGAAGAAAGTGATATATTCCTGCCACAAGCTAGCTTCAGTCCCAAACATATAGCTATTCTGACTTGGATAGACGATAACGGCGCACTTCTGCCAACGACGGGCAACATTATGCAATACTATACGGTTGCATGAGACACGATCGAGCACTTCCACGGGCT